CCACGTAAGACATCATTTGGTCAGATTGCCCCACTGCTGCCATCTGTCACACAGCAACAAAATTTTGTTGAATATTGGTGGGAAGGTTCAACCTCTACTGCCATGTCACCATCTGCTTCTAACTTTGTGGGCCACAATAATAAAAATAGGAAGCATTACTTTTGGAGCAGTCCTCAAATAAGGATGATTTTTTCAAGTAAAAACTGAGAATCTAATCTGCATGTGAACCATGTCTAAAAACCAATATATATAAAGGTACTACTATGAGAGCCTCTGTAGCTTCTTCCTTCTCAGTTTTACTCTACAAACAACAGGGAGGAATAAAATAAGATGTGGAAGCTCTTGAGTAATTATGGCATCATCTCTCACAGACTTCATCCCTGGATGGCCTAATCACCATCCAGTTGCATTTGTCACATGCTGTTCTGTCAGTCTTCTTTTCACTCCTAAATGAAACTCTTAAGTTTTATTGACTGAACCACTTACGGAACGCCAATGTTTCTTCTTCTGTATGAACAGCGTATCGAAGACCAGGCTAAAAACATGCTGTGAACACACAATGGAAAGTAATCAAGTGAGATGCAGATCTCAGACCCCAGAGCAATCTGTATTACAGTCTTGGACTTTTGAAAATGTTGAACAAAGCTTAAGTTTTCCCAACTTTCTTTCCATTAACTGGTGAAGGATGGAATCAGCAGAAAGTGTTCCTTGGGCTCAGTCACCTTCTTAGCACTGTCTCCTGTGGCATACAGGAGCAGGATTTATCATTGTATCATGGAACCATAGAATATCTTGAGTTGGAAGAGACACACAAGGATTACTGAGTCCAGTTCCGGTCTGCATATAGAACTTGCCAAAATTTAAATCCTATGTGTGAGAGTGTTCTTCAAACACCTCTTGAGCTCTGGTAGGCTTGGTGCCCTGGGGAGCCTATTCCAGTGCCTGACCAGTTTCTTAGTGAAGAACCTTTTCCTAACATGCAATCTAACTGTCCCCTGACACAGATCCATGACATTCCTTTGGTTCTGTTGCTGTCACCAAAGAGATCAGCACCTGCCTCTCTGCTTCTGTCTCCTACTCTCTGGACTGAACCTACCAAGTGACCTCAACCACTCCTAGTACCTCTTGCACTCTGGACCCTTCACCATCTTTGTAGCCTTTCTTTGAAGACTCTCTAATAGTTTGAAATCCTTCTTGTATTATAATGCCCCAAACTGCACACTGCTCAAAGTTGAGGTTACACCAGCAAAGTAAAGTGGGACAGTCCCTTCTCTCACCCTGCTGGCAGTGCCAGGCCTGATGCACCCCAGAGTACCATTTGCCCTTTTGGCTGCCAGGGCACACTTCTGATTCAGATTCAACTTCCTTCAGCTCCCAGATCCCTTCCTGCAGGACTGCTCTCCAGTTCTCATTCACCAGTCCATACATACACCCAGGGTTGCCCCATTCCAGGTGCAGAATCTGGTACTTATTCTTGTTAAACTTCATATGGTTGGTAGTTGTCCAGTCCTCTGATTTTTCAAGATCTCAAGATGTATGCACTGAGTGTGTACAGCTTAGTGCTTAGAAAAGGCTTTATGGCACCTAGTATTTCTGCCTCTGCTTCAGCTCTCAGGAGACATCATCTCATGGGAGCCAATGAGTTTGTTCTCAATCTCTGAAACCAACACTGGGAATCTTGAGTTGGAAAACACAAGTAAGAGAACATTTCTTAAATTACATTAAATTTCTTAAATTACATTATTAGGAAATTACATTTCCTAATAATTTAAGAATTAGATCTAATCTTTTGGGGTAGCTTTTTGTTTTTGTTTTTGGATTCTGGGGGGAGAGGTGGGGTAGGGAAGAGGTTGGGGTTTTTGTTTTTGGTCACAAATTCTTCTAATTTCTTCAGGCTGACAAATCTAAGACTATACAGCACTATCAAAACAAGAAATCACTGTTCTTCCCACAGATTTGCCACTAGGTCCTGCATTCTTTATTGATTCAAGAAAGTAAGGTGGATTCCACACTGCCTCACAGATCAGAAGAAAAACATAAGCATATTATTATTACAAAATCTGTATTACTGCCAGTATTAAACATAAATATGATTTTTATTTTTTTATACATCGGTTTTCAAATATATTTTGAATCTGTCTTTATATTTAAACATTGAATATATTTGCATCAAGAATCATGAGGTAAAAATAAGAAAAAATACTGCAAAGAAAAGCAAATATGTGAAATCAACTGTAAAAATGTTGTTTTAAGGGCAGAGGTGTGATAGAAGTGTGCTTAAGTATTTATCAGCTGATTTTGTCAAACGGCCATTAAGGTCAAGGACCATCTTAAAAATCAAAGCAAGGACTTTTTCTAGGAGTGAAATTATATTATTATTTTTAAATAAAGTTTAGTGCTGTGGTCAACATATTTGCTCTTTTATGAACATTTATTTGATATATTTTAGAGAAAGACACTTCAGCAGTTAAATATTGAATATTCCTTTTCCAACTTCAGGGTTCACAGAGGCATGTTTCATAATGAATATTTGTGTGCTTTTTATATGTGAGTCATCTTATTTGTACAGCTCCCTATAAATCATCTGAATGAGTGACAGAAAGGACCAATTAGAGCTTTTGTGCACTGTGGTAGAATGGCACTTAGATGTTTGTGCAATCTCATTTCAATAGTTTCAGGTTCCACAGTTTCCCTGAGGAGATTATTTGAGAGCTTACCGCAATTTATTCTCATGATAGTCAGCTTCAACATTTCCTTTTCCAATTGTATCATAATACTCTTACATCCAACATTATGTATTACGCATTTTCTCCTCCTATGAAGCAAGTTAGGTTCCATAAATCCTGCAATAAATTGGTCACCTCTTCCTATGTCCTTGTATGTCCTTATTAGATGAGCTATATAACACATGAGTGCCTTGACAGCAACATCATGGTTAGGGCTCCTTTGTGATTTGCACAAAAAGTAACAGTCAGACCTCGATGTTATAGCCATACTTCATTCAATCATCTAATTAATTCACAAGAAAAAAATATTTCTTATTGATTAAGTATTTGGGCTATGGAACAACTAACCACCTAAATCCAGCGGTTTTGGATTGGTTTGCTGATAGCTGATAGCAAACCAATATATACACTAATAAAACACTGCTCGTTTTTATGCACACTTGCACAGTCTTAGCTCTGTTTTCTTGGGGTCATATAATAACCATCCAGGAGCAAGTTTCATCATGCATCTCTGAAAGGATCCAGGCAAGCTTTCCAGTTCACTGCACAGAAAAGAGTATTGTCAGATAAGCATGCTTTATTCTGTCCTGTCAGTCCACCCCCCACCCTCATGTTTACTGTATGCCAAACTGGTGTGCTTGCAGACCCCAAGCCTGCCTTCTCTATTCAAGCCCTACCATGAGATTGCCCCTGCACTAAGGTTCATGCTCAGTTCCTTCCATTCCTGGGGGAATTTTTTTACACAAGACCTTTAATGTCAAAGCCACACTTGTTCCTCTAGTATTACTCATTCATACACATGTAAATCGATTTACTGTACACAAATACCATTAGTACAACAATCGTATCAGATATCCTGTGCTGGGACCTTATCTGCAAGTTTGTTTCAAGAAGTTTGTTTGAAGCTTTTAGACAATCCAAGTCCAAGGCTCCCATTCCAGAAGCATGGCTTATACTGTTTGGAAATACACATGTATTTGACTGTATAATCTGCTTGAAAGTGTTAATTTTACTAGGCAGTCCAGATGATGCTGCAGTTGCTCTCACAGCAGTTTACCAGGTAACAGTTTAGCACCTCCACAGATCTCATTAATAGTGAGGGTTTTTTTGATCTTTGGTACAAATCTTTGAAAGGCACCAGGAAAGTCCCAAATCACGATGGCTAGACTTTCAACATTCCTGGTCTTTCAAAAGTAAATAACTGTCTGTGTAACATGTTTAAATGATACTGCAGATACAGCATTAACCATCAGAAATGCACACAGAATATCCCCAGTTGGAAGCGGCCCTTAAGGATCACCAAGTCAGGCTTCTGGAGTTGGCAAGACATTGATCATAGGACCTAGAGACAGTTCTGCACTTCTAAGACTAATGATTACAAACAGCAAAGGCGTTACAGATTTATATTTACTTTTATGTGTAAGGCCATCATTGTTCTGTAAGACCTATGAGATGGTCAACACTAACAGCATCGATAAATATTTCATCATCAGATGTCTTACATATCTTTGGTACTGTTTGATTTGTGGTTGGAGTCAACAGCGAAGGGCTGTGTCAGACACCCAGCTGGAGTTCTTGAAATCTGGCACAACACCAGCGCTCTATGAAATACAAAGGAAGTTCTTGAGAACTAAAGATTTATTAAGATCCAACCTTAGCTATTTCCTTATCCGACTCTTTCAAGATCCGAGGGTGCAAATGAGAGGGGAGGGAAAGAAAAAGAAAAAAACAGCCTAGGCTTGCTTGGAGCAAAAGGTCCACAGAACATCTGGAAGCATCTCCTGGTGCCTCGTGCTGCTTGTCGGCAGGGAGACGCCGGCGCCACGCTACCTCTCTCCCGTTCCGTTACTGACAGCGTGAAAGAACCGTCTTCGCCTCAGAGGGATTGCCCTTATCCCTTTCTTCCCGTTTTCCGACACTCTGTCTCGCGGTGCCCAGCAGAGAGCTTTCCTACAGCCCGCAGCACCACACGCACGGGGCGAGAGGGTAGCGCGTCCGCCCGAGGTGCAGCCCCTCGGCCTGGGCCCCACGCGAGGACCTCGGCCGTTGCCCCCCGATGCCGCCGAGGGGTTGGGGCGGCCTTAGCTCTGTCCCCGGCGGCGGGAGGTCCCTGTGAGGAGCGTAACCGTCGCTACGGGCGGCGGCACGAGGCGAGGAGAAAGCGCGCCCCCGCCTCATACCCCCACCCCCCCGCAATCCTCCCAACCGACGCGGAAACCGGCGCCGGCCGAGCAGCTGTAGCCGGCGCGCAGGACGCATGCGCGGCCCCCAGGAGGGCGGGGGCCGGCGCCTAGCGGGGAGCGAGCCGCCGCCGCTGCCCGCCGCCGCCACCGCCGCCTGCGGAGCAGCGGTCTCCGCGCAGCGCCCTCGCTCTTTTCCTTCCCTCTTTCTCTCTCCTCGCGGCCCTTCCCCGCCATGAAGCTGAGCAGCCGCGGCCGGGGATGCTGCGTGGCCGGCAGCCGGGAGCGCGGGCCGCCGCCGCGGAGTCCCTTCGTGCACCAGCTGCGCTTCAGCCCCCTGGAGAAAACCAAGGTGGGGGCGCGCGGGCTCGGCCCCGCCGCGACGTGAGCTGGGCGGCGGGCGGGGGCGGCTCTGCGAGGGGGCGGCGGGGTCCGCGCAGCCGGGCGGGGGCGAGGCCGTGAGGAGAGGGCGCAGGGTGCGCCTTCACTTCGCTGCCGCTTCTCCTCTCCGCTCCACAATTATCATTTTTTTTCTATCGTTATTACGTGGGGGGTGCGGAGGAGCGCTCCTGTAGACGCTCCCTCTGCCATTGTCGAGCTGAGGGATGCGCACCGAAGGATCCCGCCGCTCCGAAGTTTGGCCCCGCGTAAAGAACGCCGGCGGCGCGGTTTGCGCGCTGTGCGGGAGGCGGCGGGAAGCGGTGTGGAAGTGGCGGCGCGGATGGGAACCCCCACCCGCCTTTGCCGCCTCCCCGCAGGGTTAGCAGGGGGTGGGTGGCCCTGGCGGGGGCTTTTGGGAGGATCTGGGTCGCTGCCTGGGTGGAGGAACGCCACGAAGGGCTCCTCGGGTAGGGACCGGCCGGCCGTGTTACTTCCATCGCGGTAGCACTTGAGGAACGTTCGTTTAAAGCTGTTGTTTTGGGTGTCTGAAGCCTACGGTGCCTGCAGCACCACACGCATATCAACGCAGAAATTAAGATCTGCTGCTATTGAACCTGTCACATCAAGACTCTTTGGAGCCAACCTGAATTTAATTTCTCTTTGGATTGGAGTTCGTTGTTGCTTTGCCTGATTGTTGTCTGGGCCCTGAGGACAAGACACACATGGCCCGATTTACAAAACGTTGGAATGTGCCCCGCGTTAAGTACCTGACAGCTAAGGAATTCGTAGCAGGCTGCAATGGAAAGGATTCTTACTTGTTTTGTAATCGAGACGGACCAAGGCTGAATTCAGTGGTTGCTGATAAATTGTTTCAACAGGAACAGGGAGAAGAGGTTTATGTCATTTGTCTCATTCAATTTATACCTGGAGCTTCTTCAATAAATCACAAGGTTGTAATGATTTCAGCATAACCCTGTCTCATCGTTTATGCCACGGTCTCTGTGTAATTAATGAGTTAGAAGTCTGTAACGGAGCAGAGGGAAGCGAAGGTAGCATGTGGTCTTGTGCATTCTGATTGTTTTGTTATAATGAGATACAATGTTTTACTTTGCGTTGTCAATGTATCTTTCTAACGCTACTGTCTGCTTGTTTACTTACAAGGAATTTTAGGTGGACAATCAGGAGGGCAGAGCAGCGGTTTCATAGTATTTCCAGTCTCCTATGAGCTACTCGCACTGTTGATCTGTTTGTCACAACAGATCTCCAGCCACTTCAACTCAGTGACCGCTTGTAGAGCATACCTCCCTCCTTATGTAGGCTGCTCTGGACATCTGTATCATATGTGAGCTTTGCCACTGGGTTTCAAAGGTTTATTTCCAATGAAAACTGTAATCTGTGTTTAAAGCTCTGTAGTCTTTTGGAGTGTGCAGACCAAAGGAACAGCCTCATCAAAGCATGGCTCAGTTTTGCTTTTAAAGTGAACGTTATGGGTGCACAGTGGTACAAAGTCATTTAACCTGGACTTTCTCGTAATCTTATTTCTGCATTTCTATGAGGAAGAATCATGCAAGATGACATACAGAACTGTGACAGAGTTTTTTATTTGCTGTAATGATTCTCTCCTAGCCTCTTTTCTTAATTAAGAAAATGGTTATGCTTGAATTAGAAGCTGCTAAAGGAGAGCTGTGAAACTATTTCACTTTCGTGAAATGCTGCTCTCCCAGAAAAAGAGGCTTCTTGAACAGGGAGGCTCCTTCACAGTCAATTACAGCAGTGTGCATTCTCCTTCACGCAGTCCTGGCCCGTCACTAAGAGTTCAGCATGAAGTATTACAGCTGAACTCACTTCCTGTTCAGCTGGAGGCGCAGACTGTGCCACAGGTTTCTCTGTCAGCTCTGTGAATCTAACAGGGCTCAGTTCTGGGTCTGCGCAGTCTAATCAGAGAAGGCCAGGAATGTGTGGGGACTGGAGGTTTTGTGGAGGTAGTGGGGAAAGAGGACTGGGAGACAAGACTGCTCTGTCTGAGGGACTGTTGCCTGTGGCTGATGGACTATCGGATAGATCCATTATCTTCACTGCCACCTCGTGCTCTGCAAGAGGTTGGATTAACTTTTTTGCTTTTTAATGCAAATCGAAGTAAATGCATCTTGAAACACTTCAGCCTGAGACTGGGCATGAAGAAGTGGAAAATAAATGGACCAAACAACCACAAAGAGGGAAAAGAAGGGCAAAAATAATCCATTTGAGAACTAAGAAATTGTTCAGATCTCTTTATTGGTTTCATAAAAACTGGAGGTAACAATGTAAAAACATTGTGTGTCATACTTCCTGTAGAAATTATGATTATTTGGCCCTAATCTGAGAATAACAGTAGAATAATTTCTGAAGCTACGTGTTTTATTTTCAATACTATCAGGAAAAGATTCTTTCTGGAAGAAAGGTAGACAGACATGGCTTCATTAATCACAAGTTTCATTCATCCGAATATGCTCTGGACAGGTATCTTGTAAGTCAGATGTTGTTACTAGTTAGTCCTAGTGTTACAGAACAGGCAGAAGCATACTGAAGCTCTCACAGAGCATTTGTAGCTTATTTTCCTGCTGCTTTAAAACTCAATATGGTTCCATCTTTCTTGCTTCCAGTATTTCTGGCCTTTATTGCACTAGTGCTGGTGTTCCTCTGGTGTCTTGGTGAGCCGATTTGGCTCATTAAAACAGCAGACTGTTGTGTTTTTCTGTGGTCTGATTGTTTCTCTTTTGTTTTGCTGGGATTGCTTTTCTTCAGTTTAATGAGCTGCGTTGGCTCACTGCAAGCTCAGATGAGTGCTAGAACTGACCCAAGGGGAGTGTGAACAGGACCACCCTCTTTAGCAGCGATGATCGGTTAGGTTGGCTTAGTCACGCATGAAAATATCTACTCCTGTTACTATCTCCATAAATACGTCAATCAGGGCACTTGCAGAGTGGGAAAGCAGGTGGTAAGAGAAGTGTCGAAGGATAAATTTCCTCACTCTTTCAGTGCCATCCTTGTTGAGATGGATTTTAGTTAGCGAAAAAGTGAAAGTGTGGGGCAAGATTAGTCTCTGACATATTTAAAAAGAAAAAAAAAATCAGAGTGAACATGCAGTTCACTGGTCTGTTTTCCTTTGGCTTTGTAGTAATTCGTGGAATTTTTTTTTGTGAATAAGCTACTTAATGATTCCCACTGTATTGTTACTTTCAAAGATGCATCTCTTTCAACTTTTTAATGAGAGGTATGATGTTGACATTCAAGAGACAGGAAACTGAGACAATCACAAAAAGGAAGTTTACTCTGATTCTCAGGCTCGGTGCTTAGATACGTAGAACCTGATGGTTTAGAGAACTTACAAAGGATCTAAGTTTGTATCTGATACCTTCATTTTAAGTTCTTACTCAAATCAGAATGTGGGGCTTCTGAACAAGGAACACATGATACCTTTTTAGTTTAAGAGACTTACCTGGAGGCGAGCTAGATCTTTGTGATCTTCTCAGACAGCCTTCTTCTACCAGCTTTAAGGCTATCCTCTTTCTTTCTGTTGCCCATGGGACTCCTACAGCATACCTCTCAACTTGTTAAAAACTAACTAGAATCCTTCAGAATAAAAGACATTAATTGAGCTGTAGTCAAAAAAGAAAATTGGTCGAGCTGCACCCCCTAAGATAAAGATCCAGATGGATCTTGAGTTTTCTTTAAAATGTGAATATCTGTGTTTTTTAGGTACGTATGAGTGATATTTACAAGAATTCATAATATTAATAACAAATATGTCTGTGTGGCTGAGTGTACTGAATATGTAGAAGTAATGATGACTGTGTAAGACCAGACACTCTGAAACTAAGACATCTGTACAAGGCCAGACCAGGAGTGCAGCATGTCTCCTTCATTTAATCTCTGGTAACAACCAGCAGGGATGGGATCTTCCCAGGTTTTAGGGGACCGAAGCTTTCTTACTCAAGAGGATGTCTGAATGCATGCTGAACTGTTTTGCAAATGCTTGTGTCCTTCCTGATTCCAAACCTTCTTCAGGGGCTGAATGTGGTCCTTCTCTCTCCTAGCAAACTTCTTATGCTGACAGGTATTTCACTGCCACCTGCTTGAAAAAAAAAAGAAAAAGAAAAGAGCAGGGGTCACAGTGGGTACGTGGAACTGCTGCTTGTTTGCTTGCTTTCTCCAAACACAGAAGACCAAGAGACCTTTTCTACACATTTATGACATCATTCAAGATCTTGTGGATGCAGCAGCAGTTTCTCTTCTGCTGTGTGGCTCTGAAGTGAACATGATACAAAAGATGCTGTGCACATACAATTGACTGTACAGGTCACTCCCAGTCAGTCAACTGCCCTTTTGTAACTAACCAGAGAAGGAGACTTGGAGGAGTGGGAGGGAGAGTGCATGAATCTCAGGGAACTGAGTCCTCACCTGCATTTTCCTCTTTATTTTTTTCCTCCACAGCTGGTCCCTTCCTTCTGAGGAACCTGGGAGGCAGCTGCTCTCTTTTCTTCGGTTTGCAGATAAATACTCCCCTATTTTCTGAGTTTTATTGAGTCTCCTGAAGTGTTTGAACCCTTGGTTGTCTCTAGTTTTTTTTTCTTATTATTGCTTCAAATCGATACTTGTGTCTGTGTTTCTCATTCTCCTCATCCAACCTCATTTGCAAATTCAGATCTTGCTTGTCATTTTTTCTTCTCATGCAGCTTCTAGAACTCCTATGTTTCTTTGCACTCATCTATTTCTTCCCTCTTTCCCCACAGTCTGAGTGAAGCTTTATTAAACAGCTGAGGTGACTTAATTGCTCACTGCTACCAGAAGTGATGGTCTTGTCTGTGGACTGTTCTGACTACTGCTACTTAAGGAAGTTAAACTGTTTTATTTGGGGAAAATGTTGTATTCAAGGGGAAAAAAATTATTTCTGATGTGGCAAGCTGAAGTCGTTCACCTTGAAACTGGAATCTTGTTTTGAGTTATGAGATGATGGTGCCAGTCCGAACCATTATTGTAAAATCTAGCTAAAATGAGTGGGCTACCTAGGAAACAGGGAGCTCAGGGTTGTTTTTTTCTGCCGTGCGTTCCCTACATCTACCCTAGACCTAGCTTTTGGGCAGCTGTGGAGTTTAGGGAGCTGTTTTGGGAAGTGAGAAGAAGTGTGAACTGGTCAGTGGAAAACTGAGCTCCATGGTGACTGGATCTGCATCATGGAAGAAGAGGAGAATATGAATGATGCTTTCCACAACAGCCTGGACATGCATCAGATTAAACACGATATGAGGTAGTACCTCATGCCTCATTTCTCAGCCTTGCTGAGCTATTATGATACTGAGAAGTACTTTTCTATGACATCTGAGTCACCTGTGAATGTATACCTTATTTCCTTTGGAATTCTTTCTTCACTTGTTGCCTTTATCCTTTCATAGCATCTTATCTATCTTCTGCTAGCTTCCTCTGTATAGCTAGAGGAGCATTAGTGCTGCCCCAGTCAGCCATCAGTTTATAATTTCACTCTTTCCCCTACCCAGTCATTTGAAGCCGTAACCTCCACTTGCTTTTATTCTGTCCTTTGAGAAGGATGGGATTTTTGGCACCTGCAACTGTTTCTTCTAACAGGTCTATCATTATGCAAATGGTTGTTGAGCTGTGCTTGCTGTAAGGTGGTTCCAGACAACTTAAGAAAGGCCAGGCCCTACATTTGGGAGAATTCTACAAAAGAATATGGGAGAAGTTCCAACACAATATCTTTTGCACTGAAGTTGAAGGCAGAGGTCTAGATGGTTGGGATTGGACTCTCTGATAACTGGAGTGGTGAGAGGAGATGTAGAAGCAACTGGGTTCATTGTGGCTTCTGGAAGAAGACAACTTGTTCAAAATCTCTGCTTTCTCCGGGGTTTATGCCTATTAACACTGATTTGGAGCAGACATTTGCATGTGTATTTGGATGTTTATCTAGGGCCGTTTCTGTACAGCATTCCCCACAGTTTCTGGTTACAAGAATATCCTACAGAGGAGCTGATATCTGCCCCATCCTGGAAAAGCTTTCTAGGTTGGATTGTATTGCCATGTGAGTGCACCTTGCTGAAGAAGTGCACATCACTGCTCTGATGGGCTGACTCCACAACAATTCAGTCAGATTTACAATGCACCCATGCTAAATATTTACTTAATATGCTGCTGCAGAGAAGAAAAAAGATGCGGATGTAGCAGCTAACAAACATTGGCTCTGAAGAAGTGCAGAAAGCTGACTGGTAGTTTTTTAAGACAGTGACTGTATTTCAATTAATTCAGATCTGCGAATACAAAGTCGTTGCACATATACATTACAATTGTTTGATTGGGTTTGAAGCACGTTCTGCTGTTTTTCAATGTTAGGTATTTGTTATTTAAAAATGCAGTTTATAGGAATTACTGTTTCTTGCAGTCTAAAATTGTGTTAGATTAACTCATTTGTTCTTTTTTTTCCAGATTGCCTTCATGACCTTGACTCTATTTCCTATCCGACTCTTCTTTGCTGCTTTTATGATGTTGCTGGCCTGGCCTTTTGCATTCATTGCTTCAATGGGATGTGATGAGCAAGAGCTTGAAAAGCCCCTCTCCTGGTGGCGAAAGTGAGTAACTGATGTAGCACAATACTGATGTAGTGCAGGTACCACAGACATGCTTTCCTTTTCAACATAAAAATACAAACAGTATTTACATATTTTCTTAAGTTAGGAGACAAAAAATACCTAACCGAATACCCTGAAAATGTTTGATCTACCAAATGGCTCAAGAATTACAGGAGGAAAATAGCTAATTGTTTGCCTCTTACTGTTATAGAGGATGTAGAATGAAGCTTTGTTGTGGTATCCTTCAGTTTCAATTACTTCCATAATGTTAAGAAGATTGACACTATGAAATGTGCCCAGGCTTCATATTCTGTTATTTTAAACTGTTTCACTCCATTGTTTCCTTCTCTGTAACGAACTGACAGAACTTCTGTTGATTCTCTGAGGGCTTGCCCCATGCTTTGGTGCTCATTAATAAGGCTGTGCTTGTGTTGATATTGGAATGCTAATTAAGGTACAATGTAAGGTGGTGTTCACCCATCCATGAAAACTGCAGCTTAAGAAGCAAGGGAGGAGTGGTGTACCACTTCTTCTGTAAAAAACATTGAATGTATGAGCTGGCACTAGAGTGAGGGAAGTTGATTGCATTTTGCATCACAGGAGGTAAGGAGGCTGAGAACTGCAGAGACATGTCACTTTACATTTAATTTGGAGTGAATTCAGCATATGACTGAAGGAATAATGGACTGCCTTCAGTCTTGCATACAGTTATTTTCAACATTTATCCATGTGAGGATAATAATCTGCAGAGGTTAGGCTTTGCACCCTGTTGGTTCAAAGTGAATGCTTCTCTTTTCATGACTGTCTAGCAGTAAAGAATACACTCTAAGAGATAGAGGGAAGAAAGTGAAATATTTTCAGAGCTCCCAGGTACATTCTGTGTGCATCCCCCTGTTTAAGAATCTATGCCCTTTGCTGCTGCAGTGAATCCAGGAATGAGGGTTGATGCATTCTAAGCAGTGTTTTAATAGTATTTTTTTGTGTGTGTGGGATCAGCTTATAGGGACTTTTTGGTATTACTGGAAAGCATTATTAGATATTGTATATAAGCAATTCAACAGACTCAGCCCAAATAAAAATTAATTTAATGAAAAAATAAATGTGAACATTATTATGATTTGAAAATATTAATATTCAGGAATGAAATGAAATGGAGCGGTAGCTTACCTTGAAAGTGCTATTAAGCTTACACAGAAAGAAAATCACAGTGTTAGTATGTAAGCTGTGTCTGTATTTTGTCATGCTAATAGTTCTTATATAATGTTTTTTCATCATTTTAGAGTATCCCTGTAGAAGTGTAACTGTTATTTGAACTCTTTTCAGGGTGGTGGACGTTTTGCTGAAAGCTATCATGAGAATGATGTGGCTTGCTGGTGGATTCCACTGGATAAATGTAAAAGGCAGACGAGCGTTGCCGGCAGAAGCAGCAATATTAACTGTGGCTCCCCACTCTTCTTACTTTGATGCCATTCCAGTAACTATGACCTTTGCCTCCATTGTGATGAAAGCAGAAAGCAAAGATATTCCTGTCTGGGGAAGTAAGTTGGTAGACAATCGTTTTTAATTTTTAAAGAAAAAATAATTATTCAGTAGCTTCACTAGTTTGGCATGAGAAGGCCTGACACACAAAGAAAAAATCTGCAATATTTTTTCAACACAACTAATGGAAAAGCAAATTAAGATGGGGCAAAGGGCGGCCCATAGAGAAAGTCTACCAAAGCTGTTTTTTTTCTTTAGTTTGGAGCTCAATCCCAGGAATGTTTCAGGAGTGGAGTCCGCCTGGAAGGTGCGCTGCTCATCTCTCATGCATGAGTAAGCTTGTTTCAGGCAGTTTGTAAAAGAGCAGTAAAGCAGATTGTTGCAGATAACCAAGTCAGTAGTGTTTAAACTATCAGTGTAGATGTTCATGGTATTTTGAGATAGATTTGTGATTTTTATTTACTGATGCAATTGTGCCAAGGATATTTTAGAGCTCTTAGAGTTATGTGCTTCTGACTGAATTGTGTGGGAATACCTTCAAGAAATTCATCCTACTATGTTTAAGGACCAGCAAAGTTTAGAAAATATTGCTGTGTCTCACTGTGTAGATTTTAAGGATAATCTAAAAGAGGGGGACAATTTTAATTTGGCCTTTGACTAGAGATGTGTGAACACAAATGCATAAACAAAAGTTCTGTTGCAACTTAGTGGAATCGGGCTGTTTGTGTTGACATCCTCTAATGTCATTGGACAGTGTGGTTTTAAGAATGTGTTTTAAATCAGCATCTGTCAGTCATATTTCTGAGTGGTTACATCTGGAAGCTTCATATAGGGAGCTTCTTGGCAATGTGCCTCTGCATCAAGTAGAACAGGCCAGAATGGTAGCTGTACCTCAATTTCCTGGAGTATTCTACTAACGAGAGGGTAGTGAAAGATCTGTGTGAAAGTTAAAAGAAACTTTGAACAAAAATAATGTAGGCCTGTGTTTTTGAAAATAAATATATACAAACAAGCATAGTGTGAAATAAAAGAAAAAAAATTAACTCCAATGTCCAGTATTGAAAGAAAATCTTGTTGTGAGATGGTATGTTGTCACTGCTGTACAGTATACAGGTGTCCAGGGTGAACTGGGCTTTAGGAGCAAGGATAGGTTTATCTTTTTTTCTCAGATGCTTCAGTTGGCTGTTTAATAATTGCCTGCTCAGCAAAATAAATTGGTCCATTTACTTTGCTTTTAACTGGACTCTTTGGAGAACTTAAATGATGTAACTGCAGGTCATGTTCTGATACTGACATATGATGAAGTGGAAGAATGATATTCAGCAGAATGCCATAATTGCTGCTTGACATTAGATTCAGAGAAGACTAGTGAAAAAGTCTGAGCTAGAGGGATACAGAGATTGCAGTTGCTTTGGATTTAGCACAAATAATGTGCTGAGAAGTTCCAACTGCTTCTTATATATCTCATTTTAAGGTAAAGCTTCAGTTAAAAGTGTAAGACTTACTGCAATCAAATCTTAAAACTATTCACTTGATTTTTTTTCACGTGTGAGCAAAAACAGTTGCAAAAGAACAAAAAAAAAACAAAACAAGAAAGCTTTATATAGAGAGTTGATGGAATGTTACTGGTATATATAGCACATATTTATATTAAAAATCTTAGTATTTTTTTTCCTAAATAGCTGCATTTATTTTACATTGTGCAGCCACAAAATTCATGTAATCCATTATGAAGTGTTTAGAAAAATGCCCTGGAAACTAGGCATGGCAGAAGTCGTAACTGGGATTCAGAGTTCAAAAAACCCTTTCCTTTTAAAAACAAAACAAAAACTAAAACCTTTTGTATGAGCAATATTAATTACAATAGTTTATGGTGTTAAAGGAAATGGACCTTAAGAAAGTGGTAAGGACTCACGAATATTTGATTTAAATTTTAGTGAAAATTTCTTAGCAGAGTGAGGTGGTTGTTTTTTATATACGTATTATATATAAATTGCTTGAAAGATGTTTTCTGTGGAGCAGATGCTACTGAGCATCCTTTCCTTCTTTGATCTTGTATTTAATTCTAATGTTATTTATACTTCTCTACAAAAATAAGTTAGAAAAAAAGCAACCCATGCTGCTGGGCCTCTTACACTCTGAAAATGTGGCCATTTTTTCTGTATTTCTCAGTAAACTGTCAACTCTTCAGGCACACCTTGAATTTCTTAGAGAAGAATCGGTTTTTATGTTCTTCAGTTCTGTCGATCTTGTGAACTTCCTAAACCAGCTCCAGTGAAGTTGTGGAGTCAGCCACTGATAATGCTAATCTTGCTGTCTCTTAATTGAGGATTGTTAACGGTCACTTGGAATTTTCTGAGAAGTTTTGAATAAAGAGCATCCATTTAATTATGAGCTGACTTCTCAGAACATGACAAATGAAGCAAGGGAGGAAACTTCAGGTAATCTCAATGAGTAAGGACTTTGGGTGAAGGCATGATCTGCATTGAAACATGTATGGATGTCTGCTGAATATATGTAGTAGATAATGTAATGACACTGTTATCAGGACATTATACGTTGTTTACTAGAAGGATCAGGTGGTGTAGCAGGCAAGGAAAGATCGGAATGCTAATGGGTTACTAGGATTGTTTCCAGAAGTACTTGAATGGGCAAGCTGCCTATATTCTACCCTTTCTTTGCCAGTCATAGAATATTAATCTTTTGATCCACTGACAATTTTAGTCCAGTTGATTAAAAGCTTTTTTTTTTTAATGGGATTGAAAGTATTCAACAGGTGTTTGTGTATGACTGTTTTATTGCTTTCTAACTTGAAGGCAGTTCTCCTGAGCCATGTAGCACAGCTTAAGAATCAGACTTAACTCATGACTTCTTCAGACAACTTTCTTCTTTTTAGGAAAAGAAAACAAACAAAATCTTTTCTTGCTCTAACAGAGTTATGAAGAACTCTTCAGTTAGTGATTAGTACAAGCAAAGAAAATCACCCACTTGATACATGTGCAGTGAGTTAAGCTCTCTGGAGAGGATCTGCTTGTCCAGAGTCCCCACCTGAAGTCTTTTATCCAGCTCTGGCATCCACAAGTACAAGAAAGATACTGACCTATTAGAGCAGGTCCAGAGAAAGGCCATGAAAATTATCAGGGGCCTGGGAAAGCAATCATCTGAAAAAAGGCAGAGAGATTTGGGGTAATTCAGCCTGGAGAAGAAAAGGCTTTGAGGAGATCTCACTGTGGCCTTTCAGTGCTTTAAAGGAGGCTCATAAGAAAGATGGAGAAAGGCTATTTACCGTGACCTGTAGTGGCAGGGCAGGGAGTAATTATTTCAGATTGAAAGAGGGTAGATTTGGATTGGATATAGGGAAGAACATTTTAATGATGGTGTACTGGAACCGGATGCTTAGAGAAGTTGTGGTTGCCCCATCATTGGAAGTGTTCTGAATCAGATTGGATGGGGCTTTGGGTGTCTCCATGTCTCCATGTTGTGGAAAAATGTTCCTGCCTGTGGCAGAGGATTGGACAGGATGGTCTTGAAAGTGCCCTTCCAAGCCATTCTATGAAACATACTTTAGATTGTAGTGATTTTGATTTTCAATTTAAAAAAAAAAAAAAAAAGGAAGAAAATAAGAAAATCAGCATGTAGTAAGTTGAGAATGCCCAGATAGTCTGTGCTCATCGCTGTCATACTGAAGTTTGGCTTTTTAGCATTTTGATAGGTTGGAATGGAAAGTTCAGTACACCAGTACTGTGTAAGCTGTGTAGCCCAAGGAAGAAAACATCTGTGAATCTGTGGCATCTGATGTTGGCTGAGGAAGTTGAATCCATTCATTCATTAGCATGGGTCCTTATATTTTACTGTTTGATATATTGGACCTCTCTTCAAGTCAGAACAAGATCTTTCTGTGAATTTTGGATGATTTGGATGATGGCTTGAAGTGTTCATTGCTAATGTGGAAAATACTTCAAAGAGAAGTGAAGGGGATTTATCAGCAAACACAGTTTGGCACGATTTGCTTGTTGGACAACTTTTGTAATTCAGTATTCTTCAATGATTTCAACATGTAAAAACTAAACTAAATTGATAAGCTAATATAAGCTTGAAACAGCTGCTTCACATTTGTAACTTCATCCTTGAATACAGGAATTTGGTACCTGTGAAATGAACAGAAGAATATGTTAGTCAACAGAAATTTGTAAAGGAAGAGGAGGCAATTTATACTTGGCAGAATACAGAAGAGCTGTAGAGGAAGGGAAAAATCATACAATGCTAAAATAACTATCAGTTTTTTTCCATATCTTGTAGACTTAAGAATTTTGGTTTAAGTTCACCTTTTGAAGGTACTTTATAGTCCTTTATTGAGCATCATGTCTAAGGGATAAGTAATTCTATGGGAAGTATTTATACGTTTTTATCTTTTGAACTTAAAAGATACCAAATTACTTCCCCATTATTTCTGTGAAAAATTCTGCAACCCCACTCCAGTTGTTCTTTTTCCTCATCCACAATACTTTTAAGAGCACCGTGGTACAGCTGTAGCTCTTCAGTGAGAATCTCACACTTAAATACTGCAGAGATTCATCAAAACAGTCCTTTTATGTGTTATAAATCTGCAGCTTATAATAGTGTTAAGGTCACCAGCTTGAATGCCAGCATCCTGTGTTGGCATTGTAGCCTGCCTGGAGGACACAAATGAGCTCCAAGGAGTATTTTGAATGTATTGCTAAGCTTATTCATTTCATAAAGGCCAATCTGTGTTCTGATTATCTTTATAATAGTTCCCTAAGTAAAATCTGCTCACTTAATTTCTTCTATTATTACAAAAAAAAAAAAAAAGCCCTGTTACAACAATTTGTCTTTTAAAAAGAGCCATGGAGCTCTGAAGTTTCTTGTTCATTCCATAGCCTGAATTCCATTATTTGGACCTCATGCAAAAGAAATGCTGGGGGAAGGCTGAGGATGGTGAGGGTTTGTTTCTTTTAGTTGCTGTAGGTTTGTTTTATATTGCAACAATAAGGGAAACTCAGGACTAGCATCAATTAGAAACAAAGCAGAGTTGTGAAACTATTTAAGTGTGGTTTTACTTCCATTTCTTTGTTTGTTCCTTTTTTTTCCTTTGTGGTTTTTTTCTGTGTGTGTGTGCTGGGGTTTGTTTTTTTAACCTTCTCAGAACAGTAGCCCTAGCTGGCCCATGATGACCTTTGCTCCTCTAGCTAATACTGTGGATACTGCCCAAGAACAAGCATGTAGAAAAAAGTACTAGAGTGTTGTATGGCAACTTCTCTCTGATTAGCTGTCTTCTAGGCTTCAGCAACTTGTGGGATAAAGGTAATTATTCCAGCAGGTGGTCAGATGTTGGGCATTTTCCTGTGAGGTGTGATGGGTTGGTTTCACAGAAGCATAGAACAATTTTGGTGAATGCTGGTGCAACTGCCAGCGAGGTGCCAACAGAACTAGAAGCTTCTGCTGAGTGCACAAGTGTCATTCTTCACACTTGTTTTTCTTTTTTTTTCCCCCTCACACATTAAGCACTGGCTGATCCATTAATGCAGCAAGTTTATCCTTGCCAAAAGAAGATTATACAGCTAGTGCCAGTGAATTTATCTCGGGAGCAGTTGTAAATATGCAAACTGTCTTTTATACTTGTTTTAGGCAATCAGGTTAGCTAATTATATAGTAACTTAAACCTTTGAGTAAGGCTACAAGATATGAACATGATAAAAAATGTATATAAATACAGTCTGCTGAGCTTAAAGCATGAGATAGTAGAGTATACTTGCAGATGCTTTACCTGTAGCACTCTTTGATATTGCGGAAGCTGTAAATACTGGGTTTCTGTTCTTTTTCTTTTAGGAGGTTTCAGTATCCTTGTGATAAACATGCATGGATTGATTTCTGACTCTTGTTCACTTTCAATTCCTGTGTGTAAAAATTTTCCTGTATATAACCAGTAAGCCACAAAAGAAATGCCTGAGACCTGATTAATCTAAGGAACAGGCAAACAGGTGACAGCTCAGAACATAAGCATGTTTTTTTTCTTTTGCACTGATTCCCCCGGAAAAGATCACATAAACCATATATGCAGTGTATTTGATGGCGTACCTGCAATTGAATTTGAGCTATCATAGGAAACAAGAACTCTAAAGAAAGTAGCATTTCAGGCCACAAGATTTGCTTCTGGTAACAGTTGCACCAGCAGGCTCCTGCTGCTTTGCAGGGAGAGAGGAGGGATAGGTTTTGCAGGAGGAAGAAACTAGCTATAGTCAATCTGCTTTGCTACAGAGAGCTGTGATATGTACAAAACTTTTAAATTGTGATGTGTGTCCATCTATTGAAGATTAAACAAGTCAAGTGCCAAAATCGTGAAAAAGGTTTTCCACATAGGAATTCATGAAAATAATTCAATATAACTCCACTATTTCAGCTGAGAATTGAAGTTTGTAATATACAGTTATATTCTTGTGTCAGAAATTCTCTAGAGGACTGTTGGTGTGTGTGTGAATCTTTTTCGAAGGAAGTTGGGGGAAAAAAAAAAGCTGTTATGCTTGTTTTTTGTTTTTCTTTCTTTTTAGCTCTAATCAAATATATCCGACCAGTGTTTGTATCTCGGTCAGACCAGGATTCTCGCAGGAAAACTGTTGAAGAGATAAAGAGACGTGCTCAGTCTGGTAAATGGCCTCAGGTACTGTACAGTACTACTGTGTGTCAGGTGACATTTGACGTTGTCATGCTTTTGGATATGCAGGATGCTTTAGGTGTTTTCTTGGGGGTGGACTTCCCCCTTCTGTGGAATATCAAAGATGACTTTCTAATCTATACAGAACAACTGTTACAGTAACTTTTCATTGTAGTATTTTTCAAAGGGAGTCTGGGTAAGTTCCTGGGAAGAGAGTTTTATCAGGTGCTGCCAAGTGGACAATCCATGTCAAGTTTTGGAAGTCCCATGAAGAAAAAATAATCATATGCTTGGTAAAATAGCTGGGGAGTGTCATGTGTTGTTGCTTTTCATATTGTGACATAGCATATTGTCATTATTGGAGATAGAATATTGGCCAAGATAGTCCAAGCATTTCAAATGTTCCAATAGCTAGAATATGCCTCTGTTGGGCCACATAGTGAGAACACTTTTAAATTGTCTGGGTTTTTTTATTCATCGTGAACGTGACTGCTTGTAACGTGCTTTGGAAGACAGTAATGAGGAAGAAGGCATAACTACCTAAGGTCTACAGTTTATTGAAGCTTGTGATTACTTTGAAAATGTGAAGCGTTCTTGTGAATTTTTTAGATTAAGATAGCAAGATAGCTTTCTTTAATGGCGTGGTTACTTCCACAATGGTTAGGTACACATATTGGACTATAAAGACATAAACAATGACAGAAAGGTGATGCATAGCTGTTACTGCATCACTTTCACCAATATATTTGAAATATGAAGAAACTGAACTGCAAAGCTGAAGTGATTTCTAGACCATCTATAAAACTAGTACAAGTGTAGGCAGTAAAACCATTAATGATAGTTCTCGCCCATTGGTTTGTCCCTTTATGATGTGTATTTATTTCCTTTAAGTGTCTCAGCAGAGTTTCAGCAGTTCATGGCTTTTTGCCAAGGTATTTTTTTAAACAAGTTTCATTTTTTTTTCACAATTTAATATCTTCCTCTGAATTTGTTTTAACTTGAACATTTTTCTTCTTGTTAGAATTCTGTTCAGATATTTTAAGCCTCTATCATTCTGATATCTGTATGCAAGCCAAATAATAAATGTATTAAATAGACACCAATCTTCCTTTTCCTAGCCTGTAAGAAGACTGGGTGCAGGAATTTTGTTTTGTTGTGGGACATTGTATACTTTACAAACACACAAAACGTTTATGAAAATTCAGTCTAATGCACAAGTTTTCCTAGTCCCTGTTAATGTTCTGATAGAATCGAAGGTAAAACTTTGAATGAAGGCAAACTTATCTAATGTAGTCAGTTAACATGTCTTTCAAAAAGATGTGTTTATAAATGAATCCCCATTCAAATATTTCTTAAGTCAACTTTTTTCTTTTACTTCAAGATAATGATATTCCCAGAGGGCACATGCACAAACCGATCCTGTCTAATTACATTCAAGCCTGGTAGGTATGATGCTCATTTCTCTGTTCTCTACAGAATGTTCTTGTATCTTCAGTTTCTGAAATGCCACTTGCATTGTAATTTGTTTGCTGTTGCAGAAATTGAGTTATAAATCTTGTAATAGAGTGGGCAGAAATTTCCAGATACTGTGGAAGAATTATGCTTTTGCTGTTAAGCAAAACATTTATTTGGATAATTCAGATTTTTTTCTTGCCTTCTGTGATTCCTGAGAGCTGCAGGTTTCTTATTTAGTGTTTGTGTTTGAATTTATGCCCCTTGAGTCTTGCTGCATTTAGATACAACGTAGTGGTATCAGCTGGTATCCATTTCAGACTGCTGTGGCATGTTTCTTTGTAGTGTTTGTTGCTGAGTTGTGTTCTGGTGAAGACAGCCCAAGAATCCTACCAGTATAGCACTGTTGCAGAGACTGCCTTTTTAATGCAAGATATTGTATTAAATATGTGCATTCTAGGCAGTTTACAATTAGTAGAACCCTGTTATCTTACAAATACATAACAATGACCACTACCAGAGGTGTGAACTGCAGTTATAATAGGATTATTAACATTGCAATGATCTACCAGTGTTTGTTAGAAACTTGCCTTTGTGGTGTAAGTAGGAAGATAAAAGTGAATAGGCTGTAGTGAGCAAATCAGCTGTGAATGTGTTTGCCTCTTCCTAGTTTTCTGCCTAATTCATTGTATTCCCTTCTTATTGTGTCTTATTTTTTGTTGCTTGCAACTTGGATATCTGTATTGGAATATAATGAATCAGCATTGTGATTCTGTGCTCTGATTAATTTGGCTGAAGGAAACTCATTATACCCTAACAAAACTTTTACAAAACTTTTCCTTATCCCCTCTTAACTTTTACCTTTTAGATGAATGAGTGATGGTTAGAAGAACGTCCACTTCTGTTGCTCTTTCTTCTACTCCTCTCAATCTTTTCCTCTTCTCTAAATCCCAACCATGCTTTGAAAGTCTATCTAAATTCTTCATTAAAGCCTCGATTCCCTTCTTCCCTTCTGTTCCATAGACATTCCAGCCACCGGGTATCATATACTTTTTGCCTCAAATCCACTGTCTTCTTCTCTGGTCTGGTACATGCTGCTCTGTCTGCCTCTTGACTGTTTCACTTTTCCTGCTGCGACTTCCATCCTCCACTAAATCTTTTCTCAAGACATCTCAGTTATATCAAGTAACTTCAGGTCTCCATTTGAATAACTGCTTTGAGGGTGCCTTTACCTGTTCTGCTCTCATGCCCTACATTCATTATACTAATTATACAGTTTTGTTTGTGTTTATGCAAGCTAGTTTTAGAGGGAAAGCTATCTAACTTTGTATAAATGGTAGTGTTGTCACATACCTCTTAGATTTTTGTCATCTTCTGGTTCTTTCTAAAGTTGCTTAAGCTGTGTTTCTTGGAGACAGAGAGAATAGGAAGCATAAGTGGGCCAAGTACTGTATCTTTGCAGGATACCATTCAAAAGTAGCCTTCGTTAAAGATGTTTATATTCCATTAACAATTTTTTTTACACCCATGTAATTATCCGTTTTAAAATAAAATAAATAAAATGTGAAAAATAAATGAAATGTGAAGCATACAGTACGTGATCAGTGCAGTACAGAACATCATTCTGTTCTCAATTTTAATTGGAATATTAGGCAGCATTTACTACATTGCATACAAAACATGATTTGAATCACGGAATGGCCTGGGTTGGAGGGGGCCTCAAGGATCGTGAATGTCCATTCCCCTGCCACAGGCAGGGCTACCAACCTCCACGTGTAATACTAGACCAGAACTAGAGATATCTCTTAAAATCAAACTGTTTTCACAAGAAAAAGAACCATATTGTTAACATGAAGCGGCACTTCCGAACAGTAGCTCTAATTCAGTATATTCTGTTACACTGTACAATAAACAAATAGGCCTCTGAGGTGAACTAAGGTGAGGAAAAAATAAACTTACCCTGTTATTTTGTAAATGATGCACTTGCTTTAAATGGGTGTTGCTCAGGTAAGTGTAGATAGCTTTTTACATTAGAAAGCTCCGATTCTTCACCAGAAGATGCTGTTGATCATGGGAATTGTTCTGACTTAACTATTTCTTCTGTACCCATGTTTATTTCATTTATGAAGTTTGGTACCAAGCTTTGAATTGTGGCATGGCAATTTATGTAAATGGAGGATAATGTAGAAAATACAAGCAAACATTTTAACTACTATCTTTTGAAAACATGGTTATCACTCTGCAGTGCTTTTTAAAAATTACTCTGAGCCTACTTTACCTTATTTTTTCTCTATCAGCTAATTCCTATGCATATCTATCTGACCATTAATCATGTAATCCTTTCTTTACTGCAAAAAAGTCTACTGTACCTAAATCTACTGTACCTTCTAGGAGCATTTATTCCTGGAGTTCCTGTACAGCCAGTGGTTTTACGTTACCCAAACAAACTGGTAAGTTCAGCTTGCAGTGTAACTGGAAATCTAGTGCGTTTTCTAAATTCACAGATACTTCTGTAATTTTTTAGGTCAGACAATTAGGTTTATAAATTTAGAAAGTATTTATAGATGCCTATTTGCTAAGTATACATTCTGTAAGCCTCTAGCAGTGTAAATAACTGAAAATTTACATGCTTTTTCTTTAATTAGGTTGCTCCATTAAATGAGTGCTTTAAATGTTATTTGGGATGTTGCAAAAAGTATTGTGTATTTGACAAGACGTAAATCATTTTTTGTCTAGGATCTTTGTTGTGTTTTCTGTTATTGCTCTGTATGCTAGAGTGTTTTCTTCATTCATTGCTGGAAGATGTTTCTGCACCTTCTGCCTGTGGAGATGTTAGATACAAATTAATACAACTAGCTAAATGATAATAGAAAAAATAAGTTAGGGATCTTTTTATAAAGTGTTTGACGCATTTTTATAAGGTGGCTCCTTGTCTGTGCTTCACATTTACTTTGCATTTGGTTGAAGAGTGCTAGATGCTAGAGTGTTTGAAGTAGCCTTTCAGTATAAAATCAGGTTAAGGTAAAATGTGAAGTGTTAATTACAATATCTAAATTTAACAGTTGTTACAAATTTTTGTGAAGTAAGGGCAAAGAAAGATAAAGCTCTTGTGATCTACCTTCAAGATCAAGAAGGATTCTTTTTTTTCAGTTCACCATTCTTGTTGTAGATACTTTCTTGTCCTACTGCAAGAATCAGATCGTTCTTCATACCTTAGTTAATTAGGTGATGTTTCCAAGTGAACTTTGTTAGGGTGCTGTGACAAATACAGTAGCCTATTATGCTCAGGTGGGGTAAAGTGCATTGTAGCAAGCTGTCCATGACATTTCATTACATAATTATTTCCAGGAAAAAGATTTTCTCCATAGTTTTAAAATTTTCTATCAATTTCAAACGTAAGGTATATGCCTTACATCATACTTAATATACTTTTTACTCCTATTTTATATTGGTTATAACAATATCAAACCATACAAGGCTATCAGACATTAATTAGCAAGTATCTTCAAAAATATATTATTGTACTAAAATGTCCTTATTGTCTGTAGTACATAATATGCAGTGTTTGTAAATGAATATTAAATGTTTCTAATGCTCTATTAACTGTAACTGTAAACTTCTTATAATAAAATAGATCAGTGTGAATTTTCTGAGCTCATTCCTAATTTTTAATGTTGTTGTAAAATGTCTTAAACCTATAAATATTCATATAGATAGCCAAAAGAGGTGGCCTGTATGTGTGTGCAGCTTTACTTGTTCTTACTACTTGTAATTACTGTAAAGCACTGCTGAGTTTTTGGTGCCTTGCTGGGTAATTTAACCTCCTAAGATCTCTTCCATTGAGAATTGAGGCAAGAGGATAATTACTGTCACTATTTAAATTCAGATTTGCTTGGGATCTGCAGAAGAGTTGTAACAAGTTTGAATGAGGAGGGAAAGGAAGAGGATGATTTCATGGTATATGAAGATGAGATTTCTGACTAGGATGCAGTTAAGAGTTGAGTAGCAGGAAAGAAGAATGGAGTAGGGAGAGAATACTTTGTTTTGTGGGCTAGCGCTGCATTTCTAGCAAATTTTAATTGTCTGTGGCTTCTTTGTCATCTTGTCTGACAACTGCATATTGTAATTATATGTTTACAAAGGAATTTATCATTAAAATCTTTTCTTAGCCAGTGAACTGTAGTTAGGCATTGCATGCAGTTTTTCTCTGCTGCTTTTAGCTTGAACTAGCTGTTCTGTTCTGCCTTCAGAGCTCAGATTTCTCAAAATAGGGATGAGAACAGTTTTGGAATTGAGTGCACCTGACAGACTGGGGAGGCTTTTGCAGATCAAAGCTGTGGGTGAATGTCGCTGGTTTGTGTACTCTTACGTGCTTATTTCCTTGTACTCTGTGCATTCAAGAACTAAGTAAAGTACTGGAAGAGACTGAAATGTGGCGGGGGGGGGAAAGAAAATCATTCTCTTATAGCAAAAGAATTATGAATTTATGCCAACTAGAAATAGATTATTTTCTGTCAAGGTTGCCCTTCAACATCTTTGTAAGGCCTTGTGACTTTGCAGCAGATGATGTCTCTGGTTCTTTGCCATTGTTTATTTAGGAATAATAGTATTTTAGTCTGTTGCTCCTCTTGATGTAAGATCAGAAAGAAATTAAGGCTTAAAATTAAGGCTTAATTTTAAGCTTACTTCTGTTTTCCTAGCCCATTAGTTAATAGTTTATGTACACTATTAACTATATTTTAAGTAAAGGAAATACTGTGTTATTCTCATCCTTTAACAACGCAGTCCTTTTGCAATTCATTTTTACACTAATTCCCTTCATTGTGAATGTAGCTCTTCCTTTTTTTGAATTTTCTGTCTGTGCTGGTAATTAAGGGGGGCTATCTGCTTTTCTAAATATCAGAGCCATTTTAAATATATTTTGATGTCCAAGCTTCCTCTGAAGTTAACTGTGCTATTTGATGTAAGGTTTGACATCATCTCTGCAGCATCACTGTACCAGGGCTGTATGGGTGTAATTTAACATGCTGATTCTCATTCTGCTGCAATGCTGAATTTTATAGTTGCTGCCTGATATAATTCTCAGTATTTTCTTATATCAAATATAAATAATGTGAAGTATATTTTTCCACTTAATTCAAAGGATCAATTATATAAATAGAAAAGTTTCAAAATGTACTTTCAGTGTTATTGAAGTGCGTACTGTGCCAGTGCAGTGCATGAGTGAGTACCAGAATAAACTGGTAGCTGTGATAAATATTAAAAATATGTAAGCCAGATATGGAAAATACCACTTCTAGTCTTTGACTTATTCTTTTTATCATAAAAATATTGTAGGCAGGAGCCTACTGAAAAGCAGTTCTCTTTCGTGAAGCACATGATTCACTTTTCCAGTAGTGAGCATTTACTTCTTATTCTTGCTTCATCTTAACACTGTCAGTGAGAAAAAGCATGCCTGTCTACTGTGGCATTCACATTGGTAATTTCTCACAACATTGTTGATTAAATATGGGACTTCAAATTTGTCAGTGGCTGGATTCTGAAAAAAATTGTAGTGATCTTTTGCCTGAACAAACTCATAGGGGCTTGTGTTTTTATCTTGTTTTATATTCCTCTGCATTGCTGTAGTTTAGGGAGCTGACCTAGAATCATCATAAAATCATAGAATGGTTTGGGTTGGAAGGGACCTTTAAGATCATGTAGTTCCAGCCCACCTATAGTCAGGGACATCTCCCTCTAGATTAGGTTGCTCAAAGTCCCATCCCATCCTGGCTTTGATTGCTTTCAGGGAGAGGGCATCCCTGGGCAACCTGTTCCAGTGTCTCACCACTCACAGTAAAGGATTTTTTAAGCATATGTAGTGTGGTGTTCCACATGGTAAATCTAGTATCTGATGAGAGAGAACATCAACCCTCTCCAGTGGTCTGAGTTTACAAATGGAAACTTTGTGGGGGGAAAAAAATGAGTCCATAAAGTGCTTGATTGCAGTAATATCAGAAATATCAAAAATGCCAGAAGGATTTTGTGGAGTTTTTATGTCTATAGTTTTGCTGTTAAACAACATCACTGCATGGAGAAGTCTGCTTTCATGCACCTGTGCTAATTGCTGAAGATGGAACACTTTTTCATATCTTGATTTTTATAATTACTGCAGGACTGCCAAGAATTTGTCTTTTCTTTCATGAAATATTGATGTTATTCCAGGCTGTTGCATTTCTCAGTGCTGCTTTCACTCGAGATGGATTTTTTGCTTAAAATTGTGATTAAAAGGGGTTTAACTTTCTTTTTCAAGATCATGGCACATACTATCACCTAAACTCTTCAAAATATGTTTGTGTGGTAGTACTAGAACTAAACTAGAACGTTTTTTCTTAGGTTGATAAAAATATTTTTTCCTTCTCTTTTGTGAAACTGAATTTCCTGAGTCCTCTTAACTTTCTTTTAGTGACTTGTACTTTTTTTCCCCCCAGTTAATTGGAACAATAACTTGAAACTTGTTTTCAGGCTTTTGCCTGAAAATCATGTCTCCAGGCATTGCAGTTTTTTTTTTCATATGATACTTCTTAATCTTAGTTAATATTACTGTGATCTCTACTGTAATCTACTTACTTGTCAGTACTCCTTTCCAGCTCTCTGTTTTCTTTTATTACTTGCATCTTGTTAATTTCTTTCACTGTTCTTTGCCCTGTTAGGGTTTTACACCCATATTTTGTTTTTGTTTAGATGTTTTGTTTTGGATTATACCATGAAGGTATAACCTTTATTTCTTTCAAGACCTTCTTAATGCAGTAAAAAAGCTAGATGCCAGTGGTAGTTGGCAGTAATTTCTGAGTAGCAAAAAGGTTGGAACTCAAAGGTTAGACATCACCCTGTACTTGTTCACTTTTGAGCGTGGTTATAGTTCTGCATTCCAAAAAACATTCCCACAGGGCTTTGGGATTTGGAGTTGTGAACTTGTTGTCTCAGCCAGCTAAAAATGCTTCTGGTCTTGCTTGACAGCAGATTGATGAGTTTAGATGTCTTGTAGCTTTTAGTTCTTGGATCAGACAGACATATATTCCCAGTGGGCATCAGGATGACCGTGAGCCAGCACTGTGCAATATGGGTGAGTGTGAAGAAGATGGAGCCAGGCACTTTTCATTGACATCCAATGATAGGACAATGGGCAATGGGTTCTTCAAGCTGGAACATAGGAGGTTCCACATAACTACTAGGAAAAACCTTCTTCATGGTGAGGGTAACAAACTAGAACAGGCTGCCCGGAGAGGTTGTGGGTTCTCCTTCCCTGGAGACATTCAAATCCTGCTTGGATGTGTTCCATAATGTATGCCTAATCTAGGTGTTCCTGCTCTGGCAGGGGAATTGTATTAAATGATCTTTTGAGGTCCCTTCCAATATCTGACATTCTGTGATTCTGTGATGCATGCCCTTACTGAGAAAAGTGGGAAAAATGCTCTTTTGAAGTAAGACATAAGGTCTTACTTGTCCTAGTAATTCTTCTTAGTTGAGAAGACTTTCCTTCAGTCATCTGTACAGGTCCCAAACACTTTGGAAGTACCATAGAGTTCATACCTGTTGCTGGGAGATCCAGCTACTACGTTGGGACACTTAAGGAACAGCCTAGCCAGCTAGATTGGTCAGGAAAAAGCACATGGAGTAAGTATCTCAAGTAAAATCGGCTTTTGTTACCATAACTTTATTTTCCAATATTAGAAGTTTTTGATGAATCACTGGATCTTTAGATGTTTTATAAATACAGATTTTTATGTGCTTAAGACTTGAGTTACTGAGTATTTCCTAGCTTCGTAAGAGCAGTTGATTCTTGGCATCGCTGGCTTACTCTTATTGGGACTAAGAACTGTTAGAAAGAGAGTATTGAATTTTCCATGAAAATCTCAGTCATATGTCATCAGCTAAACTATCCATAGTGTCACAAGTTTAAAGTGCAATAATTAACTGCTGTGCTTCCTTTTCTTAGGACACGATCACATGGACATGGCAAGGTCCAGGAGCGTAAGTGGTTATATTTTATTGCTTGAATCATTGTTGCTTTCCTTAATTTGGCTTTATTGACGTGATTTGTAGGAATATATAGTCAAGTAGTAATCGCTGGATGCTGGTGTGGGATTTTGTCTTTTATATAATATTCCATAGGTATGGTAATATTCAGTTAGAAGAATCCAGTTATAAATGATGGACTTCTGATGCTAAGTTTCTGATAGATTGCAGGATAGATTTTTAGGAGGTTTATTTCATTTTTTTGTTCTGCTTTGCATATTTTATTGTCTGCAGATCAGTTTGAATTCTCTGTATGGCTTTTATTTGAAATTGGTCTAGTCCTGTGAAGGCAGTCATCCCATTTACAGAGTGTGTAAATACCATTTCTGTTGTCTTGACTGATTGTAACTTTGACTTATTTAAAACAAAATGTTATTTTAGAAGTTCCTTAGCAAATTAATGTAATGTAAGATATACAAGGGAGGAGTTTGTCTTCTTTTAAAAATGTGTATACATACATGCAGACACTCTTTCCACATTAGAGTTCATTTAAAAAAAAAAAAAAAGTTGGAATCAAAACCAGAAATTCTCAACCTTAAATTAAGGGGAATTTGATTTTATGATTAGTAGTTTGCCGTTAACCATCTTCTTCGGAACTATTGTTTTGAATGTCTTATATGAGATCCTACAACTTTAATAATAATGAGGAAGCCATTGGGACTAGACAAGACTCAATTTGGTATTTTTTTTCAATAAATTTTGCACCTTTAAATGGGTTAAACCAAGTCTAATTAAAGACACACAGATTTGGAGACCTTGAGGAAATCATCTATCACTTCAAAGGTTTAATGTTCAGTTGAATCTCTACATTGAAAGTAAATGAATCCACAGTAGTGTCTAAAGTAGGCAAGTATGGCAGCATATTTACTGCATGCAGACATTTCTTGTCTTTGCTTATCAATTCCTACCTCTTCCCTCACATTTGCAGTGTGGGCCATCTAGCAAATTAGCTCAATCAGTGGAGAAACCTAAATAACCTTCCAGCTTAGTGTCTTATCTGAAGAGTCTGGAACATGTAGGAAGAAGAGAAGGAAGGAACTTGTAAATGTGTTGCCTCAAATCACTGTAGCGTGTACAGTACCCTCATTCTAAAATGTTGAACTCTACTAACAAAGTTGAATTAAATGAATCTTAAATAAAATTCTAAAGCAGCTTGTGAAGTTATTCAAGTTCATTCAGTCAATTTCAAATTACAGCTTTACTTAATTAGGATTAATTCTCTTGAGTGACTTAAACTGTATTTCTGATGTCGTAGCAAAAAAATACTGTGAAAGCTGCTGTGTTCTTCACTTTCTCAAGCAAATGTCTGCTGTCCTCTGTTGTAGTATTAGCCAAAACTTAATCTGGAAACGTTGCTTTTTTCAGGAGAGTTCAGTTTACAAAAGATTGGCAGGATATTCAAAGTTGATGTAATCCATAAAAGTAACTGAAAATGTTTCCTGGAAATTGTACATTTTAGAAAGTCATGTTTTCAGTAGTTTGATATTATTCAAAGCAGATTAACTTGCCTCCTCCATGAAAACAAAGGCAGTTTGACAGTGGCACGCAACTTAAATTTTCTTTTAGTCTTGAGTTAGATATAGCTTATATCAACTCTTAAATTCATGTTTATAATTTAAGATTAGAATCACAGAATGATAAAGTAGGTTGGAAAGGACCTTAGAGATCATCTAGTCCAACCCCCCTGCCATGGGCACCTTTCAGTAGATCAGGTTGCTGAAAGCCTTGACAACCTGCCCGCCATATTGAGTGGCCACAAGGAGGTCTCCCAAGAGCCTTTTCTTGTCCAGCCTAAACAACTCTAACACTAAGGCAAAAAACATGTTACAATCTTGAATAAGTGTATAGCAAAATGAGTAGTACTTTTAGTAATATATAAAGTGCGCTTTGTCTGCCAAAGAGGATTTTGATCAGTCCTCCTAGCTTCATGATTGACTACTGTCAGCTACCCAGATACCGTATAAAATGTGCCAAGTGATGCTGCTCCTTAACTTAGGTTCACTAAATCCTTTCCTGTATTTGAATCCTGCTGGAATCAACTCAACCTTGGAGAGAGATATCTTGTGTCTTAGGCTATTGAAACACATCTACTGCATTTCATTAACAATTTTTTTTTTTGAGACATCATTTGATTATAGACAAATACGAAGATAAAAATATAATGATCGTAATAAATCCTGCTGAATCAGTTCTGAATGCAACATCTTTCTGAAAAAGCCTAGCTTTCTTTTTTTATTATGCATACATAATTTATATTATTGTGTAGATTGATACTTAATACACTGTTTCTGTGCTTTTAAGTTTTTTATAAGATGTAATTTCAATATAAAATGCTTTTGTTCCATCTTACAAAATGTAATGTCTTGAAATACTCTAAGAACTTATCTGTTAATTTTTTATCTGAACATAAAGAAGCAAGAATGTTATTTGAAGGCTCTGGAGCGTAATGTACTACACTTTCACTATGTTTAAACTTTTTCTCTGTCCTTTTCCTTTTTTTCCCTTTTAGGTTAGAAATTCTGTGGCTTACTTTGTGTCAGTTTCACAATTCTGTGGAAATTGAGGTCAGTATTAAAAAAAACAAAAAACAAACAAACAAAAAAAAAAAAACAAAAAAACACCGACTTGTTACTCAGCATCATATTGTACTTCAATCTGCAGTAGAAGTTTGCATTCAAACTTTTCTAACATGGTTGGTTTAGAGTATTAAAAAAGTTAAAATACCACTTTTGTAATGGTATCTGTATCTGAAAATGTAACCTAAAATTGAATAATGCAATATAGTTTTCCCTTTAGCTTAGGCCACTATTTCTTCCCTTTATTTAAATTGAATGGGTATATTTCTGATTATGTTTAAAGAGTCTTCTGTGAATAACAGTTTTCTCTTGTAATGGCTTGATTGCTGTTCCAGCCAACGAATCAGCTGTGCATGTTAGATACCTAAATATGTGTACACTGGCATACAAACTAAGGGCTATCTTTTAGAGAAAAGAAAATCATTGTAAGTGGTTTTTATAGGTTAGATAAGTTATTTTAATGTCTGGCTAATAGTTTTTTCCTTAGGCTTTCTTACACTGTTCCAAATGTGAAATCAGAGAATACAAACCTTAAGTTTATGTATATTTGTTATGTTGTTTTGAGGAAAACACCAGTCCCAAGGGCAAAGACTATTGTAGTGGAAATGTGAAAGCCATTAAAAGGTATTCATCTTTGATGGATCTGATGGCAGGGTAAATAAGTAGGAAGAACTATTGCTGTGGTAATATGCAGTATATCCTACTAATTGTATTTAACCATTGAAATTTTGTCTATTATCACTATATCTGTTAGAGAGACTTGTGATTTGCATTATCATTTTAATTGAATTTTTTAGTTGTTAACAGCTTACAAAAATCTTACAAAATAATGGTCTATCATGTCAAAAAGAAGAAAGTGGTTTGTTTTGGTTTGTTTTGATTTAAAAAAAAGTGTCAAACTGCATTTAAGGTAATAGGAACTGCTGATGTATAAAATGGTTAATAGTCACCTGAAACTGTTTTAACTGCAGAACTACTCACTATTGCATTTTGATAATCCATAGCAGATAAGATCATATTCATAGGGAAGATATTCTTGTTTTTAAGGTACTCTGCCAGAGTCCTACTGCCTCCCTTTAATAATGTGACAACTGGATTCTCTTTCCTATTATGACTGACTATAACACTTTTTATCCTGTTTGACTTGTATCAGATTTTTCAAGTAACCTTAGTATTTGAGAAATTCCATTGCTAAGATCACTTACCCTGTGTAAAAATTTATATTATTTACACTACTTTCAGATGTGTAGCTTAAGAATAATATTTTGTCTTTTAGTAAGTTATAATAGGGAGCTACTGCCTTAATGAAAATATAGGACAAGCCAGCTGATCAGCAGGCTTTTATTTTATCTCAGGAACGTGATTTTCTGCCCTAGGCAAGAAAATGGAGTCCTTTCACACAAGTGAACACTGCAGAGCTTTCTTGATTTTTTTGAGACAGCAGGTTCCAGCAGTCCCTGAGTTCTGTAACTCACAGAACTTGCACAAGGACAAGTTCTGCTCTTTAATAGCAAAATATACTGTACTAGAGTAGGAACTGGCAGAGGATGAAGGAACAGAGTTTTTTGGAAGGCTGTTTGCAAGTGTGAGGCAGAGTACTTCATGAGCTACATGTTGAATCTGGTTTTGTAAAGGAAGTGCTGCAGATTGAGGAATGTAGTGGAACAATGAGTTGTTCTGTGACCACAGTCATGGTTTTTCCTCGTCTCCAAAGTTATTTGGCTTTTGTTCCTACTTTGTTCCATCAACATTGGCAAATACAAGCCAACGTTGATACTAGAATTACTGCTGAATCTCCAGTAATTCAGGGAGGTGTACACCAGGACAATACAATCTCAGTGCATTTATTATTAAATAATAGCTACTAAGGCCTTGTTGCCAAGTAACCAAGTACTGAGGTTTCCTGATCTGCACTTCTCTGTACAAAATGAATGTTGTGGTATGTCAAGTTACATGTAAAAATACATCCAGCATGCTTATTTGGAAGCAAACATCTACGTAGATTTTATAAGAAGCTAGGCATATTTTGCACCCCACAACAATCACATACTTTTTTTTCTTCAAGAAATTATGTGATCATCAGCACATGTAGTTTACTTTGGCTTGTGTTAGTTTGTTTTCCTGGCCTATTGGCTCCGACATCCGCATATCCATCCCAGTCTGCAGCAGCTGACAATTCTTCTGTTAAGTTTTGTTACTGATGCCAAAATGTTTATGCTGTTTCTGTCTAGGCACAGGCATGTAGAACATCTCTGAAACTGCTTCATATTCAAACTTGTTCTGTGTTTGGATGAATTACAATGTGTTTGGATGAATAGCAATTTACAACTCCAAGTAAAATGAATAGAGTTGGACTTAGAATTTAAAGGAGCAGTCTTTCTGTCTTTCTTAGCTTCACATGCTTTGTCTTTCTGTATATCATACTGCATCAGACTCATATATATATCAGTAAATCTAGAGGATAGAAGTAGTATGTTTTCATTTGCAGTTGTACATACAGAGAAAACTGTAGGAAAATCCCAAATAAATTCAGGATTTGTTTATCTTTGAACATGTCTAAGAAGCAGATAAGCATCTAAAGGCAGCATTTTGGGTACTGCTGACCATAACTAACGTCAGTTATTGAGAGTGATTTACTTAAATGACAAAATTCATATTTATTCCAGTACTTCTGTTTTTTTAAAGACCGATACACAATTCCTGGATCATAACTCCAGTTGTGTACTGCTCATAGATTGGTATATCAAATATAGCTATGCTTATTGCAGTTGTTTTTTATTTCAAAAGCTTTCCACATAACTATGAACACTTTGTTCATAGTACAAATTCTCTCACAGCACTGCGCTACCAAAGCATTGCCTTGATGCAGGGTATGGAGGAATTGGAATGATCCCTTCTTTTTCCTCATATCTGGAGAAACTAATTGCTCCATGGAACTGGAATATTCTGAGGGTTTTTTGTAGGTGAGATAGGCAGCGATATTGGAATTTATGTCATAATTAATAAACACTTAGATTCATAGGCACATGCTGGAGCTACTTTTAACACAGATCATCGCATTCTGAAAACTTCCTCTTACATCACTGGTGTTGAGCAGCTTCACTCTGATTTTCTGTGGCCATCTTCATTTACTTATAGTTTTTCTATTAGTTGAGTACTAATATATCCAGTGTCCAGTTTGGAGGAGAAACTTTCAAAACCTCTGACAACAGAAGATGAAAATGTTTCTGAGTTGTACACTGAACAGTGATATATGATTACAAAATATGCAGTGAGAACAGTAAATAGCTGATATCCTGAGAATTTGGGTTCTCAACATTTAAGCTACAGAACAAAGTTCACATAGCAGATGTTTCTTGGTTATCTGCAAAGAGCTGAACAGAAAAGGAATATTAATTTGAATGTAAGAGGCTAACATGAGAAAATGCAAATACTTTCTAATGATTTTTAAAACTTCCTGTTCCCACTGAATTAAAGGAAGATAAAACTCTATTTGGGTTCCGTGAAGTAAGAAAGAAATGAATCTCTGGAATATGATGCATCTCTAAGCATTTTAAATGTTCCTTTTTTTACTCTTATTTTACTTATTTTACTAATATGATTGTGTAAATAGAAACAAACTGTACACATTTTTCATCACAGTGCTGTAATACAGATTATCTAAAATGTTAAGCATTCTTGGTATAATTCAGTTTTCTGTATGCAGTTTCTTCCTGTGTATATTCCTTCAGAAGAAGAAAGAAAAAATCCAGTGTTATATGCCAGTAACGTCAGACGTGTAATGGCAGAGTAAGTATCTTTTAATATGTAATAAATTAAATCATGTTAGTGTATATGTCTGCTTGCAAAGCAGCTTGTATTCCACAGTAGTGCATACAAACTATGTAGCAGTTATTTAATTTTCCTGTATGGGTAAGGCAGGGACTCACAAATATAGCAGTAACTGTAGTAATTGTTTTGTTTTATTTTTTTAACATGCTTTCATATAACAAGCCTTTTATTTTGCTGCCATGGGTATTTAAGTCCTTTGTGGTGGAAGGTACAGTTGAATTGTATGAAAGTTAATATAACTGAATCTTCTGCTATTGAAGTTCCTTTTTCAGCTCTGGCTTTTTTAATTGAAGTTAAGCATAGTTTGATGTACTCATTGTTAGCCTTGTAGCCAAATAGTAACACATAGGAAAACTGCTTCTATTTTAGAAATAGAACACTAGCATTCAAGTTCAATTAGTTGCTTGCTTTGTATTGATGTGAGGACACTGAGAACACTTAACTATAGAGTAGGATAAAACTAATATTGAATGCACTGACCTTAGTTCTCTTCTGCTGTTTTTCATTACCCTCACATTTAACAGTTCAAAAAATGTTACGTTCGTTTTGTGTCCTTGCAGTGAATCTTCCACTAGTCAGCAGATGTTCTTTTTAGTATTTGCAGAGAACCCTTATGGTTATTAATAACTCTTGAAGGATTTAAGAAGTTTTGTACTACTTCTGAAAGAACTTGTAAAATCTTAATCTCTTGTTAAAATTCAGAAGAGAAGTTCTGGTTTTCAACCAAAAGCCAATTTGTAGACAATAACTGGTAATTCTCTGGTTTATAAGCAGCACACAACTTTGTGAGTTTCTTTAAGGATGCTGAGCCTATACTATAATGCAACAATTCCCTATCTGTTGTATACAAAGAACCTTTCTCATAAAAGAAAAAGGATTGGCGTGAATCAAGCTATCTTTGAGTTGCAGTAGCCTCAGAGACTTCTGTAGTTTATATTAAGATTGGCTGGTCCAATGTAAAGTGATGTCTTCAGGCTTTGGGTAAAGAACACAGTTACAAAGCCTTCATTATGAACTCTATTCCAATCAGAAGATGATAGAAATTGTATGGTATAAGGAGAAACTTTGAAAGGCTGTGAAAGCTTACAACAAACTGCATATGGAAAGCCTTCCCTTCTATGATTATACAGAGAGGTTATTTTCCTCTTCCTTTTGTTTTTCCCTCTCGCTTCTGAAGAGTAGGCATTTGGGATAACAGTGAGAAGTGGTGTCTAAAAGGGACACTGTTAGAACAGAAGATAGCGATTATGGCTTGTTTTGAGGTGAAGAAAGGGCTGTGCGTTCTTTGTTGATATGGAAGGAAAATGCATGTTTGGATATCCAAGTTGTGTATTTACAATGCAGGTGGGAGTAAACCAAGATGCTGATTCTTGGATGCTGTGGATTATTGTAGACCTGTTAAAAATAGTGTAACTGTCCTCTTGTGCTTTAGATTCAAGGGCAATGCCATTTATATGGCCCTTAGACAGCCTACTAATGACAAAGGGAAATGCCATTTTTCAATTGCTGTGGAGCCTGAGTAGGTACATGTCTTCACTGTATTCCTTCTCAACCAGGACAACAAGAATTGTCCTTTTGAAGATGCATTCAAAAGACACACATGCACCCCCACCCAATCTGTATTGTTCATCTTTGCTGCTGCCGTATATCACTACCTGTTTGAGTATGAGCTCATGGATTTCTTTTTCATGGACCATGATCATCTCATTGCTGTGCATATTATGACCAGAAGTTAACCAATCTAGGTTGTTATTCTGAAAGCACTTATTCCTGCTGTTTTTCAGGATTTAATTTCACAAACTTTTTAATTGAGTGTAAATATGAATGCATATGTCTGCATTTTCTGCATTCTAGGCCTCAGCTTGTACAGGTAACGTCTCTGACTGTGTTTTTCTTTGGTTTCAAAAGCAGCTTTAGCTTCTTCAATACTGAGTTGAAATCAAAATGCTTTTGTGTTAAATGCTTTTGTGCCCTACGCAGCTTGTGATTTAGCTTCTGAACTCAAGAGCCCCTTGAGCTCCAACTTATCTGGCTTTGGTTGATCCTATAACAGAATTTATTGTGAACAAAAGTTGTTTCTTTTTCTACTTTGCTTTTGATATTTGTAATGCTGAAAGTTTGAATGTACACATACATACTGTTATGGTTCATCTTGCATTTTCTGGAAGTCCAAAGGCTTTTCTACACTGTCAACAGATGAGCAAGAGAGGATGCAATCAAACTTGAGAAGGGCAAAGCATATTTGACAGTGGGAACCCATGCAGGCATTAACTGTAGTAGCAATTTTTTGTACTAATAGCATTGAGTCTGGTCAAAATACTGCTCCTCCTGTAAGGATGTGCACTCAGCTGTAACTTTTCTTCTTCCTTCCAGTTTGGCTGAGCCTGAGATGTTCTCTGCCTTTTGTTTGGGATTTTTTCTATCACAAGCTTGTTCTTCCTCTTTGGAAAGGCTTCTTCAATATTTTTGGGGTCCATTATTTAGGGGATAGTATTTAATCTGGTGTTGGTTGTGGGATGCCAGTCAGTCAGGCCTTTCTTTACCTACCGTGGAGTTTGAGTTACTTAATCTTCCTCCTTTTGAGGTTGCTCTGAAATGTTGCCTCCTATTTATGTCTACGGAAACTAGAACAGATTCACAGAGCCCAATGACAACTATTTGATAGAGTGAATTCTCAGTTTCTTCAACATAGTCACTATTGTTTGCTGTGCATTTTCACCAACGATGAACAGGAGCCTGCCAGTGGAAGTGACCTGCCATCTCCCCAGCAGAAATCACAGAATCACAGAACTGTAAGGGTTGGAAGAGACCTTTAGAGATTGAGTCCAACCCCCCTGCCAAAGCAGGCTCCCTACAGCAGGCTGCACAGGTAGACGTCCAGATGGGTCTTGAATATCTCCAGAGAAGGAGATTCCACAGCCTCCCTGGGCAACCGTTCCAGTGCTCTGTCAAGCTCATTGTGAAGAGCTCTGTCACATATTCATGTGGAATATGCTCCAGTTTATGGCTGTTTCCCCTTGTCTTGTCCTCACAGATCACTGAAAAGAGATTGGCCACGTCCCTTTGTCTCCCACACTTATTTATAAACATTAATAAGAGCTCCCCTGGGTCATCTTTTCTCAAGGCTAAACACACCCAGTTTGCTCAGCCTTTTCTCACAAGGGAGATGTTCCAGGCCCTTTATCATCTTTGTGGTCCCCCCGCTGTACTATCTTCAGGAGATCCTTGTCTTTTTTGTACTGGGGAGCCCTGAACTGGATACAGTACTCCTGGTGAGGCCTGACCAGGAGAGAGCAGGGGGGAGGATGTACCACTCACTGTGCTCTCATCCACTGTTTGGTCTTCATAAGCATTCTGCAAGCATTGATGAATGTCAGTGGGTGCCATTTTTTTCCTCACAGTGGAATTAATTGACACACTCTTGCTTCATCTACACTTCCATGTCAGATGCCATTTGGTCACACTGCCCCTCTGCTGCCATCTGTCACACAGCAACAAAATGTAATGGGATATTGGCAGGAAGATGAATTTCTACTGCCATACCACCAACATCTGCCTCTGACATCATGAGTCAACAAAATAAAATAGGAGGCATTACTTTCAGAGCAGTCCTTATATTTGAAAAATTCCCAGCATTTATATTTAACGAGTTACGGCTTCTTGCTTTGGTTGCAACTTTTGGCTATGTTTTAACTTGTCTGCCATCTTCTGTTTTTTCATAAATCCTTTTTTAAGCAAAAGTAAAGTTTCTTCTAATTGCTGCCTTTTATCTGAATCGTGCTGCTTTTTTTTCTTTTTGTTCAAACAATTTTTTTTTTTTATAATTGTCTTTGCTGGTTCCCTAATGTGGTATCTCACAAGCACAGATGTTTTCTTATTTGTAATTAGCTTCCTCTTTTCTGTGCATTTGCCCTATAATTCTACTGATTGCCTGGAAGTTCCTGTGTCCCTGTTGCATGCTGTACCTATTGTTGCCTTAAGATCTGATGAAATTCACTGTAATGTGCCTAGCTGGACAAGACCTTTATTATTACCACATTCCTTTTTGTAAGCATCTCTGGGCAGTACTGCTTGTGAGTTTTATTGTATCCTTTTGGCCCAAGGAGTTCAGATTTCTACCTGACAGTTGACAGAGGAGTCTTTGAATAAAAGGTGATCTAGTACACACACAGCATTATCTAAGGGAACAGCAAGTAATCTAAACCAGCAAAATAAGTCCTCCTTCTTTCATTAGTCCAGTTTTCTTCTTCCATATAAACTTTATTTCATATTGTATAATACTAGTGACTTCATATTGTCTAATACCATGCTATATTCAATACTGTATAATAGTAGCTATTGACAAGACCTGCAGTACTTGATCTCTAATTCAGTTTGGAAATTGACTCCCACAGTATGAGGGAGTTATTCTGGATTTTACATAATATTCATTTGTGTGCTGACTACAGGCTTATGCGTGGCATGAAATACAGTATCATAAAAATCTCTTAGTAAATTGCCATAATGGAATGACCAGTTTGCACATATCACCAGCACACTGATCAAAGAAGCAGTAGAATGATGAAACAAAAACAAATAAATGAAAAATTTGAATGAACAAAATTTAATTATTTAGGATCATCCACTTGAAACATTCTAGCCTTTAACAGTCTGCAGTATTTGTTAACATGCTTTTCCCATACACCTCTGTCTTCTTGGTTTGATTGGCTTTTTCCTTTCGTTCCCTTCCTATTGATTTTTCTTGCAAGGGAACGGCTGTTGATCCAAAATCACTACAGCGTATGTCTTCAGTTTATTCATAAGTAACTTATTTAAAAAAACTATTTTTTAACATACTACTTCAGAGTTTGAATATCAGTGAGGTTCTCTTGCTGAATATTTGACTTTCTCTTTCAGTAAAAAGAGAAACAATGATCAGTAACTTTAATATTAAAGTGTATGTCTTGCTACTATACTAGAATGCCTGAATTTTGAGAGTTAATCAGTGGATAAAAGATTTACCTCTTATAATAATTACACTGGCATTCAAAGAGCTTGTATGAGGTTCTGAAGAAGTGTCTATTTAACAGAAAGTAATTGGCTGTTGCGTAAGAAGCAAAGACTATTACAGATTAAATTGCTATAATAAAGTGCAGAATGAAACGCAGGATTTTCATGACAGACAAAATGACTGGTGGCATGTTTTGGACTTTTGTAACATTAATGTATATTAACTTCACAAATGAATAAGTGGTTAGTAATGAGGCAGAAAAAAACTGAAGTTGAAAAGAATGAAAATAGTCAAGAAATGCGTAGAGTACAATATTTCATTCTTTTTATACGAGTTTTTCTCATTGTTGCAGAACTTCTTGCCATGCAAAACAAAATGATATTCTGCTCATTTTTCATAGGCTAACTTGCTTTCTGTTTCTTTGGTTTAATTTAAGAGCGCTGGGAGTTCCAGTGACAGACTATACATTTGAAGACTGTCAGCTAGCTTTGGCTGAAGGACAACTTCGTCTGCCTTCAGACACGTGTCTTCTAGAATTTGCAAAGCTTGTGAGAAGCCTTGGGTGAGCATATACAATGTTTGTATATAAGGTGCATTTTTGTTACATGGTTATGTATGATTTTCCTCATATAAAAATACATTCTCTTCTAGTACACTGCATTTATGGCTACGTGTGGAATGCTGTCATATTACAGTCAGGGAAACTAATATAAAGATCAAACCAATACTGTATTAGAAGTAAATGTCTCAAGACATCCCAGAGAGGATCAGAAATACTGTGGGGCTTGCAATATCTGATACAGCTAAGAGTCAATTGCCCTTTCTCATGACATCTATAAACAGAATGGTGCTGCCATAATACAATCTTGTGACTGGGGTTAATGTTGTAACAGAGGGGGGCAGAAGAATTACTCTTTCCCAAGAAGCACAAGAAAGCATTGGTCTATTGAGTGGGTTACTGCTAAATGTACTTTACAATGAAATACCTTATTTTAAGCAGTTTGGCTCATCTCTTCTCTTACGACATCAGTTCTCTCTGGCTTTACCTTTCTGAAAAACTTCAGCAAACAGTGGAGAGAGAAAAAACAAAACAAAAAAAACAATCCAACAGATAAACCAAATATTAGAACCTGCTGTTATTCCAGTTTTTCTTCTTTGTTTCCCCTCTCGTCCTCTTAAGCAACGAGAATCCAAACTTGCATTTTCAGCCTATGAACAACTGTAATATGTAAACACATTTTTCCTTTTTTGTCTCTGTAAGTTGAAATACAGAGCATAGTTATGTTCCCATATCATACTTTATTTCATTTCACTGTTTTTCCTTCATCTTTCAGCTTGCTCATAAACAGGATTAAAAAAAAAAAAAGAGGCAATGATGTAGTGTAGACAAAGGGATGCAGGACAGCATACATCATGCATACCGGTTACTGACATAATATGTCATATATCAATATATGTCAATATCTCCATCTGAAAAGAATTCCAGTAGGACAGTAGACACTTCTAAATAGAACCAGAAAGATTCTTGCTTCAGTCCAAGAACTTTGAATTTTCAGTTAAAAAAAAACAACAACAACAAAAAAAAAACCAACAAAACAAACAAAAAACCTCCTCACTTATGATGCAGTTGATAATCCCAGGATTCACTTTAATCCTCTTGTAACATTGTCCAGCTTTTGTCTGCTCAGTTTAAAACAGTTTCCTCGAATTAAGCGTTTTGAAGTATTTATTTGGCCTCTAAAACAATTATGTACATTTGAGAATGATGTTCCTCAAAATCTAAAAGTTCACTAACAGACTTGAGCAATTATGCATTGGTGAGCTATCATTCTGTCTTGATTTGGGCGTGTGCCAGTAAATAAGGCTATTACCATGGATGAAAGTGGATGATGCTTGTAATATGATTTCAATTCTAATGCATGATTGATGAAAATGCACTCATTTGCAGCTTATTCAAAGGTTTTGAGGCCAGCAAGGCATTAAGATCATCTAGTCACATCCCTTAATAACTCCAACTGTAAATTTTATCCAATGGATTTTGCATCCAGTCTCATTACTTTATTTTGAACAAGAACGTCTCTTCTAGGTAACAATTTTAAATGCAAGACTTTAAAAGTGAACTCGGACTATTGTTTTTATTACTTTGTAATTTTGTTACATCTGAGTTTGCTGCACTGGAGAACTGTTTGTCCATATGATATATCTATAGGATTCATTATCATTTACATACTTGTAAGATTTGCTCAGCTTGTGCTCCAGGTAGTGATCCAATTGTGATCCAGAAGACATGTAGCCAGAGCAATGAAGCCCCACACTACATTTAGTGAAGAGCTTGAGCAATTTTAACACAGCTACACAGTTGCTAGGTCACAGCTGGCTGAAACTCAGCAGCTTCATTTTGAACTCTGTGCTAAAACGACTGTTTTATCAAGGAGATCAATTAATCAGTATTGTCTTCTCAAATTCTAGGCTCATTTCTCTTCAAGCAGTTATGCTTCTGTTGAGCTTGAGGACTGACTGGTGTTTGACCAGTGAACAGGTTCCTTATATATATATATATAAGGATTTTACTATAGGTTTCAGACATTGTAAATGTTCAACATCATTTGATGATTTCAGTTAATTTCATTTGATGATTCGTAATTAATTGCCCTATTTTTAAAAATTATTTCCTGTTTGTACTTTGATTGGATCAATCAGTATGTTGTAGACATGGAAGTTTGTTTGACTTCTGTGCCTTACAGAGCTCTTCATACATTTTCTTCTGCAAAAGATGCTGGTTTATTATAATTGTTATCTCCTTTTTTTTAACAAGACAATTTGTTTTGAGCTGCTTTAATACAGTCACCAGCAAGGAGATCCCTAAGTTCTTCATAATGTCTCAAATTTCTGCTTATTCTGATTTCCACGTTTACTTTGCCTGTGAACTAGAAGGACATTCTAGCTTTAGTTGTTCTGATTTCTAACAGAACCTTGATTTGCTAGCCATCAGTAGCTCCTTAATGAGTTTTCTATTTTGGGTCAGATAAGTTTCTAATTTTTTTCTGCTGTAATTATCTTCTTTTCTTAAAATGTTAGAAAGATCTATCCCATCTTCAAAGCAGCTGGATGTAGTACACATTGCAATACAAGGTAGAAATTTCTTGTTGTTACTGTTCTGTTTGTTGTTAGGCTTACGAAGTCAGGTCTCGGTGTAATCTGACAGTTTGTTCAACTGATTCTGGTGGTTCAGGATGTTTGCATCTTCAAAAAACTATACAGAGATCAATTATCCTTAATCTGGGTAGGTGTTTTATGACACTATCTGTTGAGTTACAATTTTTTTTTTTTGACACTGATTTCTTCTAATACCTCTTTTCTCTTTTATCTCACCTGCTCTCCAATTCATTAAAATTCATTACTTTATTACATTATTCATAATTGCTTTTTGGTTGTTGGTTTTTGTTTGTTTTTGCCAATTTTTCACTTAGAATCCCAGCTATGAATTAGAATGTGTTGCAAGGTTGGAGGTGTCTTGCATCTTTCTGCTTTAGTCCCTGTTTTCTACTCCCTGATTTTTCTTATCTACTTGCTGACATTTTGGCAAATATCCTTTAGAAACTAAGATTTTCATCTACTTTTTTTGTTTTTGCATACTAAGCAGCTCTAATACTTGTACGTCACAACACATTTTCTTTCCAGTTTGACAGTTGACTTGTACTTCATGCATCAAAAAGAAATAAGTATATCAAATACAAATAATAATAATAATAATAAAATAAAAAAAAAAGGTATCATAATATGGTGAATGTGTATCCTATGTTGCTGGTATATGTATAGCAAAAGGCCCTTTGGGCAGATTGTTGACTTGGTGTATACATTTAATACTCAGATGCAGAGGTTCTTGGTGGTTTTTACTAAAGACAGAATGGCTGATTGTCATTTATTTTAAAAGGTATAGTTTGCACCAGATCTTTTTCATGTCAGATTGCAAAAAATTCCCTTTGGATTTCTGAGCTTTCTTGGTGGGATTATTCTATTTTAGTCTAGGAAGTTTTATCTTTAACAATGGATAGTAATTAATCTATTTTCTTAATTCTTTTTTGGTTCCTTAACAATCTGCTCTGCTTTTCTGGGGCTGATCACTGTTGCTCTCTTAGATCCTTGTAATGAGCACTAGAGATGTCTGTTGCATATAATAATTGCCTACCCAGAAGAATGTTGTACAACATTAGCAAGCCTGAAGTTTACCTTCTAACATACTCCCAGTCCCAAGTAAGTTTTCTGATAGTCATCCTTATTTTAGAACCTGAATTGGTTCTGCTGTGGCTTCAAAACCACAGTATTTCAATAAGAATGAAATGAATTAAACAGTAGTTCCATTTTGAACCTCAGTATTATACTGTCCAGTCAGCCACAAGGATCCTAAATAGACAGTGCTCGTGTAGCCTTGTAAGAGCCGCGAGGAGAGATTATAATTATTTCTTAGATGTGGTACCCATCTACTCTCATTCAGCAGCCCCTGATGCAGTCTTCTGCTGGTCCATGTGTACGTGAAACTGTGGTCCAGACTGTAGGTAGTGCTTTGTAATTCAAGAAGTAGTAGCACCTTACAGCTAACACGGTCGTGTCTTAGAGTTGCTACAGAGGTCATATTTAGTAAGAAAAAATCTCTGGAGGATGTTCTTCATCTGCATTCATGGTCAAAACAAAGCTGTCCATTACAGAAGGTGACTGGAGATTAGGCTTAATGTAGTGAATACCAACTCAGTACAGCTTGCCTCATGAGATCAATTCAGGTCAGTTTTGCAGCTGTTGAGTATTCTTTCACTAAAACAACAAGAAGTTGCATGGAAGTTCATCAGTAGACAGAAAACTGAATTTGCTGCTTAGTTGGCTCAGGGCATATTTCTCTGAACTTGCAGTTTACAGTAGTTAGCTACAACATCCGGCTGTTCTTATGAGGCTTCCAGCTCTATGAGACACTTAGAAGCTTTTTGGCAGGTTTCCAGCATTTGAGGAAAGAGTCTGTTTTCAGATGATCAAGTGCAACTAAAACTGACTTTGAAGAGATGAGACATTTCACTCATGTAAGAACAGTGGTAATTGTGCTGAAAGTATCCTACCTTCAGGGATCTAGTTTTCCTTGTCAGCTCTGCTGTGGAGGATTAAATGTTCAGTGTTCATCCTGAAGCAGCTCTTTCCATCTAGGCAAAATACCACACTAGCAAAATAATGTTGTGTCCCATAAAGCCTAGGTCCTGTAAACACATGGTTTCATGAGCAGAGACATTCACAGTTGGCCTTTTAGGTTTTATAGCTTCCACTAGGATAAAAGGCTCTTTACTGAGAGGGTGGTTGGGCACTGGAATGGGCTCTCCAGGGCAGTGGTCACAACCCCAAGCTGCTGGAGTTCAAGACATCTAGACAATGGGCTCAGACGTATGGTTTTATATTTGGGTAGTCCAGAGTAGAGCCAGGAGTTTGGCTCGGTGATCTGTATGGGCTCCTCCAAACTCAAGATATTCTATGTTTCTGTAAAAAGTAAAAAATTTAAAGGAATTGAGACATCCAAAACAATTTCAGTTTGAAACTACAGTCTTTTGTAGGATTTGGAACACTTGGCTTTCAAAGAATTCAGCATTATTTGTCATGATCATCCAATATGCCAGTTACCTTTTGATTCTGACAGGGATAGAGGGAATGTACCATCTTGGATTCCAGGAAATACAATGTATTCACACTCAAGCTGAAGCAAAAGTTTTGCCTCTGATCCACATACTGTTTTTGAGATTGGCTCACAAGTTTTTTGTATTTATAATCTCAAACCACAAAACATCTAATAGATTAGTGGCAAATCACAACTACTTTCAATACAAGATTTTACTCTTGTAACTTCAGCTTTTCAGGCTACTGAAAGGTTGACTGTTGAACAGGAGATCCCAATGAGTCTCTAATACTCGTCACCAAACAAGTGTTTACTCATTTCCAGAAGGTGAATTTTGTGTGACTTTATTCCAAATCAAATCTCTCTGGTTTAGAGACAGATGTTAGATTGCATATTCTGTGTCAGAGATGGATTATCTCAAGGGAGTATTCATATGCCAGCTGGCCTTGTTCTGCAGTTAAAATCCATTTCGGCTACTACAGTGAAGATGTATTATCTATGGACTGGTTTTACATGTAATGCTGCATGTTAGGAGCTGAGATCTGTATGTATCTCTGGTCCTTCGTGGATTCATTTGATATTTGTACCTGCTCCTTTTTTAGATAATGGAAAATGAATGTTTGCTCTCTTTATACTGCCTACGAGCCAAACTTATGAGAGGTCCTTTCCTTCAAGTGTGGAGGGAGCATGTGAATGTTTTGTAGGGGCTGTGGGCTTTGAAAGAATTGGTGCATAGCTAAGTCTTATAATTCAGAAATACAGTGCTTGGAGTTGTTACTACAGTTTTTGCAAGTTAGGCTAGGTAATGACAGATAGCATAGTATAGTAGTTCTGTTTTTGTTTAAAAGTATAGGCTTTGGGAAGAATTGTTCAGGTCTTCAAGATGTGAAGCTTGTATACCAGATATTCTTCTTACTCTGAGTTCCATTAGTTATTTTCCAAAGCTTAGGTATTTTGGTACTATTTAAATATTTGATCCAAGTCTCATCAATGAGAGGAGGCTGCTGAGAAGGTCCAGCTGCAGTATGGAGACAACTGTGATCTTGCATAAATAATTGCCTCCAGGTGTCTGCAGGAGCAAGCAGCAGAACAGTTCACTGCAGAAAAGTATTGTTATTGGCTTTTTGGTCTTTAGATTGAGAACTTTGAGTGCCTGTGTTACTACACCAGTTCAAATAAACTCACTGGTGACAATTTGGTTGATGTTTTATTAGGCAGGGAATTTATTTTCTCCACCTATATGCAGCACCACTAAAATTTATTATTTTGATTGTGAAATTTATTTTTAACAAAGCAAAACCAAGAAGTTTGATTTAGCAAAAACAAACAAGCAAAAAACAACAGAAAACAAGCCAACAAATCCTTGTAGGGAATATCTGCCTTAGTCGAAACCTGTTCTGTCATTGGTCAAAATCTGGTTTTGAAATCAGAAGGAATGAGGTAATTTCTGTATCAGTATTAATCGCTATAGCATTGTTTGATGGATAGCCTCATAATGGCGTTGAACTGCAGACTGAATGAGGACTGACAAACAGGATTAACAGTATAATCACCATTATGTAATCCCAGATTCCTTTTAGACAAGATGCACCAAGTCTTTCCTGTTCAGTGACATCAGTAAATTCGGAATCGTAATTGGTTTATGTTACTGTCAATGCGGCTGTGCTCAGGTGACCTAAATCCTACCTACTTCTCTATGCTTAGTATTTGATACTAGTTAGTTCTAGACTCTTTCTTGCTTGCATGTGTTGGGCTGCTTGGACATATGGCTTATAATCAAGGAAGTGAACACAAGTTTATAATCAGAATTCCTAAAACGTTCCAGTAATTTCTAACATAGTTCAAGAACTAATGGCAGCTTCAAGACGTTAGGAATCCACTATTACAGAATAAAGCTGCTTGGAATCCTGCTTCTGGATTTTGTAGTGCTTTATACCATTATCATTGCTTCATTCAGTATATTGATATCTGTATTCTGAAGTTAGGTTTACTTTTAAAATGTACAAAAATAATGTGCTTTCTAGGCTGAAACCAGAAACACTTGAGGATGATCTTAATAAATATGCTACGCGTGCTATGAAAATGAAAAAGGAGAAGGCTGATCTTAAAGAATTTTCAGCATATTTGGAATTTCCAGTTTCGCACACATTAGAAAACATGTTTGCCCTTTTTGATGAGGTAAGAAACAATAAGTATATTTAAAAATTGTGTTACTTATGATAAACTCTGTTCTAGCATGATTTTCTTGTTGAATTCACTGAAGTCTAATTCAGGGCAGTGCTAAGCACTTTACAGTCATAGCATCACCAAAGTTGGAAAAGACCTTTACGATAATCTAGTCCAGCTGTACACCTACCACCAATATTTCCCCACTAAACCACATCCCTTAATACAACATCTAAAAGTTTCTTGAACATCTCCAGGGATGATGAGTCAAGCACCTCCCTGGGCAGCCCATTCCAGCATCTGACCACTCTTTCAGAGAAGAAACTTTTCTTAACTTTTCCTAACTTGAACCTTTCCTGGTGCAAATTGAAGCCATTCCCTCTAGTCCTATCACTAGAGATAGGGGAAAAGAGGCTGACCCTCACCACAACCTCCTTTCAGATAGCTGTAGAGAGCTATAAGCTGTAGACATTTCACTGCAGTATTTGCCTACTGCATTTCCCTTTCAGCAAGATAGTAACATCCATCATCAAATAAATGAAACTGTCATTCAAGTAGAAAGTAAAAAGAGTATCAGTTGGACAAAACTGATTTTGTTTCTAGATTAAAAAAAAAAAAAAAAAAAAAAAGATTCAGGCCAAACCATTACTACTGCTTGTTGCATCTGTATGTGATGGATGTTGGTTGTATTAAAAAAAAATAAAAATAAAAATAAAATCTTTTTTTCCAAGATACCTGGAAGCTTGAAGGACTGAGAAACTGGCAAATGAGCCAGTTTTTCTTTCTCTCTGGCAATTAGTTGGGAAAAATGATCATTATCTTTTAAATCATGAGATGCTGTTTGCACCAGGAGGTGGATGGATGTGTCCACAGTGGTATCCTAGACCAAAGAACAGATATAATGTATTCACGACTTAAATCAGACTAGTTTGACCTCTGGTTCTCTAATTTTAGTTTTAACCCATGTAAGTAAATGTAAGCACGTTAGATATGCAAGTGAAGCCTAACAATAGTGGCCCTGTCTTTCATGAATATTTGAATAGAACTTCCAAGTGGAACTTTGAAAAGCACCTTTGAAGCTCATACAACCCCAGTTTTTGCAATGAATTACATATAACAATGTATCTTGCTGAATATTCTGCATATTAATTGTTGTTAGCTGATATTTTTGGAAGTTCTGAGACAAGTTGTCATATCTAGAGAATTTCTTTCACAGAATGAAGATGGCATAATTGACATTCGAGAATTTGTCATTGCTCTGTCAGTTGTCTGTAAGCCATCTAAAACTCTGGAAACAATCCAACTGGCATTTCAGGTAATTGGTATTTTCTTCCTATATATAGTTTATTTAAAATTTGCTTTTAGAAATGATTATTGCTTCCATTAAATTTTTATCAGAAACTTTTTTCCAAATGCCTTTTAAATACTTGATTTGAAATGTAATTAAGCATTAATAGAAAGGAGGATAAGGAGTATGTATTCAGAGGGAGTGAACTGCAATTTTGTTTAGTAAAATGATGGGAGTTGGTAGAGTGGCGTTGTTACGTGGAGCTGGTAAAGTCTTTCAGTACACTAGAGCCAAAGTCTTTGTATTGATTACTTGAAACTAATGACTAATGAGTTATGCTTACTGCTTGTAAAATCTTTCAATCAAATCTTTTTTGTCAAATTAAGAAAAAAAAATCAAAACTTGCAGTTCTACGTGTTAATAGAGAGAGCTCCCCCTCCTCTTTAGTTTCTTGATAAGATTCATTTTTCCCTCTTAATCTTTGCAATGTTTCTTTTTCAGTCCTTCATTTCTTCATGTCCTGAATTATTTGCCTACCTTTTAGACTTCTCAGAAGTCTTCCTGATCTTGTTCTAGCCTGAGTGGTTTGTTTTCACATCAGCAGTGATAGCTAATGCAAGTTTTTGGGGAAGCCAACAGAAGCAGTGCTTAATGTTTGCCATCCCAGTGGTTTTGTCTGAAACTTCTTAGTTTTTAACTGATTTCTTTAATATTGCTGTTTCAAGCTTTGCTGCATTTAGATTACCTTTCTGATTGCCTTGCACTTATGGGGACTTGTGTCTTCAGTGCTACCAAAGCAGGAAAAAGTTAACAATTGATCACTGGTGAATGCATGGACTTCAGAACTTACAATTGTATCAGTATTACACCGCAGTCTTATTTTCTGAGTGTAACTGTTCTCAGGTTCTTCAGCAAATTTTTTCTATACTTAACCGTGTTTTGCTAAAGAAATGAAAGCTCCTATGAATGCTTAGTGTCTATCTATCACCCTTTTGCCAGTGTTGAACAAATATGACAAAAGATGAAGTTGCAACAATATTTATTTCCTACAAATCAACAGCTGTCAGAGGGGATAACTTAATGCTACTTGTGAGGCAAAAGCAGATCTCTGCCTTTGCTTATTGTATTTCATTTATGTAGTGGCGTCACTTGATGTTTGATGATCTGTGTCCTCTTACAAGCTTGAATACTCTGTGTTTACCTGTGTAAACTTGAATGTGGCTTTTGGACATTATTTCAGTCATGTTTGGTTGTCATTTATTTCTAGGGATAAAAGTGAAGCATTTTACAAGATAGCTGAGCAAATATTCAGAGTGGGACTGTTTAGCGTATGATGGAAGAAGCTGAAAAATAGGGGTTATTGAGTCACCAGAGATCTAAAGTGGTAGTCAGTTAAAAGCAGAATTAGGGATTATGGCAATCAATTCCAAGAGCATCGATCCAGTGTAAGTGCTGGGCATCCACCATTTCTAGTTGTTAAGAAAGTGAAAGAGTGGTGTAAATCTTGCCAATGTGGCACTTCTGGGCTTTATCAAGTATCACCTCCTGATTAATTGATCTAGGAAAACACAGCAATTAAACAACTTTTGTCTTGTCCTTCCTGCTTGTGAAACAGCATGCAAATTGGATGGTAGGCAAGAGTCTTGACTTGAGTATGAATGTTGTTTTCCACATAACTTCAATGTTTTTTATCTCATTGTGGTGTGCTGTCTTGATGAAGATTTCATGTTCCTAATGGCTGTAAAGAAACTAAAAGTTTCTAAAGCATTCTTTAACATAGCTCAGTATTTGCAGCCATGTCATGCTTCAAAATTAGACAAGGATGTCTTAAGCTTTTGTTTGTACTGAACAAGCAAAATGAGATAGTTCTAAAAATGTAATGAAGTTTGGTACAGATGCTATATTAATTTTTTTATTATAAAAATTTTTATTAATAAAAATTAATTTTTATTAATTTTTAATTACCATTTCTCTACTCTAGTAGTAGAGTTTTTGTCTGTGAGCAAACTGCTTCAGGACTTGAAAAGAAACATTATTCTTCTCTAAATAATTGAGGAAATATTTTCAAAAAAGTATAGGTTCATCACTGCAGTGGCATTGTTCTGATTACTACAGCTCCAGTTAGATGTAGCTATCTATAGCCAAGGTGAGTATCTAATCATTTGAACGTTAATAAAGGGATTCTTGAGTTTTTTATTTGAGCAAGTGGGAAATAGTTTATTCTTAGGCCAGCTAAGTGTATCTTCTGCTTCCACAGGCTGGCTTGGAGTTTGGAAGCCTAACTCAATGAACTGGTCCTTATCATAGTTGTGTATCTAGAAAACATTTTAGTGTTAAACTGTCTTGTCTCTAAAATATCACTGAAATTCTAGTGTTCAGTCACATAAACATATTCTTTTCCTGGATATAATAAACTTTACTTTGAAAATGTACATGGGTGAATTACAGTGTTCATAGGAGACAGTATTCAGCTTTGGAATGACTTAGCTTACTGTTTTGTTTTACAGCTATACCAATCAGAAAATGGTACTATAACAGAAGAAGATTTAGCTCATATTCTGAAGACTGCTATGGGTGTGTCGCAGATTAATGTTACACATCTTTTTAGGGCTGTAGATGAAGAAGAAAAAGGAAAGATTACATATGGTAAGTATGTAAAGTGGATCTGAACTGTGATAATATTAAAGTTGTCTGAATTTGAGTTGATATACAAACCTGCTACATTTTAATTTGACTTTGTCTTTTTAGTGGCCTCGGTTTTATAATCCTAAAAGCATTCCAGACAAAGTAAACTTAGATTTAAAAAAATAAAACAAAGAAATTTGAGTTCCATCTTTTTATACAGTGTTATCTTTACATTTTCAAAGTTTTTTTCCTTCTACATTGTCAGGTAATGCCTATACTGGCTCTTTTAGCATCTTCTGTGACTTCAATACATGTGAATATGTACGTGTAAGAAAATAATGTTAGCTCTGTCCTATTGTGTTGTCTTTTAAACGTTCCTCATTATTTCTGTCCTCTCAGTATATAGGAAAGCATAAGATTTTCTTCTCCAATCATTTTTCAGCCTGTTTAAAAGTCAGTCATTCATGCAGAGGAAGTGAGGAGGTATTGAACAGGCTGCTGAATATATAATCTGTAATGCAGGTGATATGGAGGCAAGAAAGTTTTTGGTTTTTTTTTTTTTTTTTTTCAAATTGAGAGATCTAGGTGAGTAGATTATGCTGAGAGTCTCAAAGTACTTGTGTATTACTTCAGATTCTTCACCTCTTACACAGCAAAGTTCTAAATTTAGTTGCATCATTCAAGTATAAGTTGTTGATAGCAGGTGTAGCACATATCTCAAATAGAAGTGCTTATGATATGGCCCTGTTCTAATGGTTTTCCATCAAGATGATTCATGCGGATTTGATTCGTAAAAATGTTAATTAGAACATCAATATTAGTAAATCAGTTTCTACATTAGTATTTCCTATGTTTGAAATATGAGATGTATGCAATACTTCAACTACAGCACTATTTAGACTCACTGAAATGACTATCATTGCTTTATCTTCCCTTTCTTCTCTTATCTGGTGCCTCCTTGATTCCCACTGTACTACCCCTTTTCTCTCTGTACTTCTCATCTGTCATCTCCCCAGCATTTCCACATATATCCTGTTATTGCCTTTTTGCTGCCTGTTGCTCCTTGTTGTCTCCCAGCTCACTGAAATGGTGACTCAACTTTTCTTCCCCCCACTATCACCAAAAATAACAGCAGAGAATCTAAGCATCTTATCTCAGCAGAACTCTAATTTCGGCATATCTAATTATCTGAGGAAAAGCTAACTTTGAAACAAGTGTACTTAAACCAGTCTGTGCGAGTTATCAAGGAATTCATATTTAATGTCATTCTTTGACAGTACCCAGTTGCTCTTAAATCTGCAGTGCCCCTGAGAGATCACAGTATGTTTACATCACAAGAAAATCCAGATGACTGAACCACAACAGTGACCATTGGAGCATTTAGTGAGAGTCAGAGCTTTTTTTTTCTTGCGTTCAAGAGTAGTCCACTGTGAGGCTACACAGAGTGGGATGGTGTGTATATCACTCAAAATTTTGCTTGGGTCTTCTTCTGGGAAAAATGCTGGGAAATGTTGCACAGAGTTTCTATCTTATCCGAAAGCTTATTAGTAAGAATAAACGTCCTGTTGTGGTAAAGAATTGACAGATGAAGGTAAACTTTGGTATTGTATTTCTGCCTTGAAAGTCCTTTTCTATAAATATTTGATGTCTTTCCTTGCCTGAGAATGCTCATCTTTACATGTGATCTGTTGCACACGAATAGCAAAGAAGAAGAGGGAGAAAGCTTGGAAGTTATACTCCTTCTGAAGGCATTGTCCAGACAATGCACGAGAAGGAAAATGTTTGTATTCTCTGCAAGGGTGTGAGGAGTTGGTGAAGGGAGTGGAACTAAAGGAATTTTGTGAACGTACAGCTTGCATCAGGAATGTTAGTAGTGGGGTTGTATCATAAAGGCAGGAGAAAAACCTCTGATTTGAAGTTCATGCAGTGTGAACTTAATGCCAAGTATAGATAGTTTGCTCCACTCACAAGGATGGTGGAGAGGGAAAGCTATGACAGATTCTTTCTGCCACAGCAGCCCTGTAGCACAGGGGAAACTGGGTTTTGCTCCTCCTAAGGGTGACTTCAGTTGCCATCTGCACTGAGCTGGAAGCAGCTCACAGTGCTGTGTGGTCACAAGCTCTTCCAGTAACAACAGTGAATTTGAGTGGGCTGCCTGCCACATGCTGTAGGTGACAGGGTGACTTAGTGACAGTGTTCATATCCGGCTTCCTCCAGTGTCAGTTTACATTATAAAATAGCTTCTTGTGACTTGGCTCCTCTACGGTATCTTTTGTTTAAATGATGTCTGAACAAACGGTCATGAAGGCACACTGACAAGGCTTCAATGCTGGACTTTTAATACAAAAATTCTTGGCAGTAAGGAGTCACCTCTACTTCCAGAGGGAGTGAGTCTTGCTCTTTCTATTGTTTTATAAAAATACAAACCCTGAAATTATGGAATTATAGATATTTTAATTGAGAACTGAACGCATCGTCATCTCACGATATCATTCTCTAAAATATTAAGAGCTTTGGAATGCTAAGATCTTGGAAGTGGGAGGCAGCAATTATAGCTGCATTTGGGTTGAAGAGAATTAACAAGGCAAAGTATTTTAAAGGGCATGCTTGCAAGAGACTTTCCAGATTTCAAGAAGTGACTGCTCATGCTGTTCTTTGTTCCTCAGCTGGAGGGCTTCCTCCCTTCCCCCAGTGAACAGTGAGATGCTATGTCAGGGCATGTCCTCATACATTTTAATGCAAATCTGAGCCTGTTTTTTCCCTTCACCATGCAAGCTAAGTTCAGCTTTGAAATGTTTTAAGATAACCCTTTGTGGCATCTTAGTTCTGGGGACGTGGTGAACTGCTGAGAACCTGAGTGCCATGGAAATAGTGTTATGTTAACTGCTGCTATTTTCTCTGAAGACATCATGTGATTTTTATCCTGTAAGTACACAAATTTAGTGTCCTTCTATTTCAGAGAACTGATTCTGTGTAACATTTTTTTCTAGATGACTTCTACAGATTTGCTGAATTGCAGCCACACTTTGCAGAAGACTATCTCTATCCTGATCAGATGGTAGCTGAGAGTGGATTGGAGACCTCATCTCTTTCTGCTCCAAATGGTATCTGTACTGACTTCAGCCCTGAAAATGCTGAAGATAAAAACAAGCCCCTGCAGAAGAAATGGAACTAACACTACAACTGTTATCTTCCTCTCCTGGTGAGAGGATTATCTTTTCTTGGAATTTTCATAAGTCACTCCAATTATATAGCAAATACCAATTTTGTGTGTGGAAGTTCTTCTACCTTAATACTGTTCTTTGATTCATGTGTGCTATATTTAACGATATGTTTCAGGTTACTTGGGGAAGGGTTTTTTTTTTTGTTTTCTTTTTTTTTTTTTCCCAAAAGGACTTTGAAAGACAAAAATGTGAATGTGCTTCATTATTAATGTTCATATTTAAAAGGAAGCAGCACTCTTATTTATATTCCACTGGCTAGTTTCATGTACAAAGTGTTGCACAAATTGTGCATGTATAAAGAAACTGTAGTTACTATGGTGTTCGGTGCACTTTGGTGATTAGTGTTTTCCCTAGTTATGGGGATGTTTATTTGGGGCCAAATTTTGCTGTTCATATTTGCATAGTCAGTCTAGTTTTCAGTGGGATTATGCCATTGAGCAAGGCAAGCACATTTTGGCCCCTTTTGTTTTAGTTCCAGTGAACAGTTCAGAAACAGTCATGCAAAAACTCAATGAGGATTACTTCTGTATTTTTTATTGTTGAATGACAACATTTCTTTTCTTTCAGTCTATTCCATGGTAGAATGAAAAGGAAAGACTCCTTCCAGATGCTTTTAAATATGATTTTTTCCCAAACTGACATGCCACATACTGTTTGCAAACAGATGATAAAACTGTGCTTTTGTCTTACAATCAACTCATATCCACCCAATATTTACATGGCAGATGTTTACACAATCATATTTATCAGGAATCAGGGTTTCTTTTGAGGCAAGTCTTTTCTTATATGCATACAGATACTGCATCTTACATACAGATGACTTATCATGGAACATACTATAAAAACTTAATTGTATGAACACAAATTTGAAAAGATTGCAGTTACTCCAGAAGCTAGCAACAAGGCACGGAACAAGGAATGCCAGTTAAATATCTATAGCAATATTAGATATACTGTGTATAATATACATGAAGTCTAAAATTTAGAATTAGAAGTTTAGAATTGGTGGAAGAAAAAAGAAACATTTAGTACTAACGTTTCTTATATTTCCTTTTATAAAGCCAGATGCCTTAATTATCAACGAAGGTCTCAGAAATTAAAATTAGCAAAGCCACATAGCTCCACTGATGAGGAAATGAGCCAAAGGCTTGAAGGACTAGGAAGGAGAACTGTGATGGCAGCTCTCCTTCTAAATAAAAACTACATCTATTTTCAAATCATTTATGTGACTAATTCTGCAGGCTGCACTAGAATACGAGGATTTTGTAACTGGAAAACTGTCACTGAGAGTTGATTTCCACATGTTAATGCAAAACTAGATTTGAAGGGTGGGATTTCAGCAGAAGGAAGTCTGCTTATGCCTGATGCTTTTGTCTGTTTTTTTTTGTTTGTTTGTTTGTTTGTTTGTTTTCTTTTTTAATAGGAGTTTTTGTTATTGTCGTTTTTTTTAAAGTGCATTTTAGGGTGTTGGAATGTGTCCTTAGAAATCCTTAACTGTCTGTGAGAAGTCTCCAAATTGAAACTGGATTTAATAGAATACGTATAGGAAAACATAATGTAAGAAATAATGCTTCTGGGGGGTTATGCAGAGGTACATCTTCATTCTGAGATATTAATTAAATTTTTTTATTTACCTAGATAATGCATGCCAGGCTGGCAGGGGTGCCACTGGTTGGCAGGCAAGATTTAGACTGACATCAATCATGAGAAGTTGTAGGCACAACTTGAAATTAAGACATGAGGAACTATACTTAAATGAGAGTTGTCAGGTACACAGAGGGAGTTGGGGATAACTGTGTAAAAGACCTGGATGGTATTGAGCATTGCTAACTGAATACAGTTAACTGATTGCTGCAGAAAAGATGTTCATCGTAGTGAGATGCGTAAACACTTGAAGCCTGTGAGAAGGGTGGTGGTATTTGTGTTATCAAGAATTGATGAGGCCTTACATAAGGCACCTGTCTGTTTTGGGGCACTTGAGAAAATGAGGATGGCTGGATGGAGACTGAAGGAAAGAAAATTTTCAATGATTCTTTCAACATCTTTATTTAATCCGGGGAGGGTGACTGGAGGAAGATATGGAACTAGTCTTCAAATATGGAAAAAGCTGCAAAAAGGAAGATGAGAAGAATCTTTACTCTGTGCTCATGGTAGAAAGACAGGATAAACATTAGGAAAACTGTCTTACAATACTTCTAGTTAAGATGTGGAGTGGGTATTCTGGGTGGAATGAGGAGCCTTTCTTCACTGGAAGCTTTGAATACAGAAATACAGAAAGAAAAGGCATTGCTGATCTTGTTGATTATAACCTGAAGGTTGTAGGGATAGATCTCCTGGGAACTATTTTCTGTAATTATATGTTGTGTATTTTAGTCAGTATTTAAGGCAAGGTAGATGAGCTGGAGAGTCTGAGCATATCACATCTCCTCTGTATAACAGTGCTTGGCTCAAGCTGGCTGTTTCTAAGACAGTTTGTTATGTGAGATTGGGAACTGGAGAATTTCAAAGTGCAGGGGGTGAGACAGGGTTCTGTGACACACTTTTCTGAAAAGGAGAAAAGCTTAGTATCCCATGGACAGCTCTAGTGAGAAAAGCCCCAGGGGAAAAAAAATTACTCCTTCTACATCTGGAAAAAAAACAACAAAGCAAGCTGACCAAAGCTGCGTAAATATGAGCACGTCTGCTTTCTATGTATGGTGCTTGGAGTTCTAAAAAGGCAAAGAGTTAACTTTGTCTCTCCTCTCTGGTGAGAGAGATATTACATTCATCACAACTGTTAAATAACTGCATATGAGTGCAGCCAAGCTGTTGCAGAGTGTTTGGGTTGAAAGGGTGCTGCAGCTTTTGATAGATGCCAACAAATAAGGCACAGGATGGTGAAGATGTGCTGAGAACTGCATCAATGAGCTCTATCCAGAGCTGCTATAGAAAAAACCTGGTGAATAGCATCTTGGTGAGCAAGCAACCAGCTTCTATAACGACTTGCATTTGTTCCTGCTTTTGTGAGATTGATCTAGGTAGAGAAATAAGATGAATAAGACATGAAGTCCTGGTCAGTCTGCATGAAAACATCGTCAAGACTTCAGATAATGTCAATTAAAAAAATGAGTATCCAGGGGATTTTAGTGTCTAGAGTATTCAAGGTATAATACTAGACTGCCTTGTAGTGACAGAAAACCCATGTTAGTGTAAGGGATAAACTCAGACTTTGTGGGTTGAGATCTGCAGGGCATTGCAATACTGCAACACTGTTCACTGCAATTTGTCCATCAAATTCACCTATTAAATGTTTTAGTAATTCCACATAAAAAGTGCCCAACTGTGGAGCCAGCTGGGTCGTGACACTCTCAGTAGCTTGCTGAACTACAAGGGTAGAAGTGAAAGGTTCCTTTTCCATTCAACAGACAATAACATGTAAGTGCTTTCAACTAAAGTGTTACAGATTTTACAAACCTTAAATTGTCAGGGAAACATACATCAGTGTATTTTATAACAATTTCATAAGTGATCCTTCATAAAAAAAAAAAAAAAGCAGAGGTGTGAAGACATGGTACTTGTCTGATGTGCATTTTGCTGCTTTTGTGAAATACTGCCATCCCTTGCCAGCAGAGCTCTTGCATCAGGCTAAATTTCTATGCATGCTATGAGAGATGCTCAGTCAAGGCTTTGTTATTCTGATATAGCTGCACAAATATACTGTGTGCTTTGAATGTACTTAGCACAGAAAAAAAATGAAATCTAAGATATCTAAGAAGTGTTTTGTTTTTTGTTGCTTCACTTGTTGTTTCAATTATAATTTAAAAAGAAAAGAAAAAAACACAAGTATAAATAGAAACAAAAGTTTAGGAGCTACAAAGCCTCTGTCTCTACCATGGAAAGGCAGAGTTCTATTGCAGATTTTTCATGAGTGCAGTGTGGTAAGTAGATATAGTTAAAAGGTAGTATAGGCAAATTCTGAGCCTAAAGGAGAAATAATTTGTAGGCCTAATTTTGCACCCATTTTACTCTATGTATTTCAATGTATGTTTCAATGTAGCTAGAATCCTCTTACTATGATTAAAAAAAAGTGACCAGATCCCTGCCTGTTTGCTAATCCTGATGTGAAGGTCATGAAGCTTACTTGAAAAGGAAATGTGTGTATTAAGGAAGTGATGCAATCTCTGTAGAGAGAAAGCCACAGGAAGTAAATACTTGTTTTGTACATAGCTGTTTATTAATATTTTCAAGCAAACTGCATAGACCTGTTAGCTTGTTAAAACGTTGGGATGCTTGGAAAATGTTCTTATTCATGAAGTTTTTTCTGGGAAGGGGATTATTGCACTTTAACACTTACAGAATTTGGTACATTTTCTGAAGATGTTTTTATTTAATTTCTGCATTCCTCTGTCAGGCTGTGTTTTATCACTGAACAAAACTTCCTATATAATTTTATCATGTGGTAAGTATGGCTTTTCATGTTAATTCTGCTCACTGACCCTCCAAAACCGGTATTTTGATTGAAAAAATAAAAAATAGAGAAAGGACTTAAAGAATAAAAGCTGCAGACCTGAGTAGCATCTGCTATACATCTTATGATGTCAGAAACTATAAAAGCACAGCTTTGCATATATTTGGCTCTTGAACTAGGAAGGAAATATATTTTGGATTTAAAAACAAACAAAAAAAACCTGATCAAGTCAGATTAATTTTCCTTTACGTTCAACTACTGCATTCTGCTTGATCTGAAACCTCTGGTTTTTTCTAGCAGCACTTTCAGGAGTGTTCTGTAATTAAGGCCAGATGTTACAAATATGTTGGCTATGTTCACATTAGCAAAATTTAACTTTGGCTCCTAGACTCAGTGAAACACAGAAGTTCTCTGTGAACAAAGCCCTGCAGATAATTTTTTAATTTTCAGGTGTCTGAATTTCAGCTTGTATGGCTAGTTCTCCTTCCTAAAATAAAAATAGGAAGAGTAGGTCCAACAGTTTGAAAATGAACATGAGGATTAATAATCTGTGCCTTTGTTCAATCCCGCAGTCAAATGAAGCCTCAAGATCTGGCTCAGAGATGAGCAGAAGACTGAAATAGGCATTTGGGTAATTTTGCTTTTCAGGACATGTTCATACAGCTGGCAATTAAATCAGCCATTCCTCAGTCAAAGCATGATGTCCTGAAGGTACCGCAGCCTCTTCTAAGCAATGTCCAAGTCACTAGCAGCACAGCCAGCAATATTTAAGTGATTCTTCCTTTTTTTTTTTTTTTCCTCTTAATGAAGGCCAGAAAAAAAGTACTCTGTGATGGGAGCCTTGAAAGACATCCTTAAAGGCAAAATCCTCCAGCACCTCCTCAGAGGAACAAGATCAGTCATTCTGTGCTATATCTAAGGCAGTGAACTAGGTATACAAGTTAGTCACTAACACTCTGATCCAAATGGGCATAAGTGATTTAATGCTGAGGTATAAATGCAGAGAATACAGCAGCAAAGAGAGCATGCCTGGATTTGCATTTGTAAGTATTTCATCTCATATTGTCAAGTTAAGACAGCTCCTTTCTCTAGGAAACCACTCAGGTTTATTTCAAGATATTATTATGTTTTATAAGTGGGAGAGTGTGGTGTTTTGTAGAAAATAGCTTATTTTTCCCTCAGATGTTATGATGTGCTTCATTATATGCAATGGGACTAAATGAAAGTGGGTGATATTGAGAAAGCAGGTTTAAAAGACTTTTTTTCAATGGAGGGTTCACCATTCCTGTGAAAAACAGTGAGACCTTTTGAAACAGCTGACTGTCTAGATTGCCTTGCAGGCTCTTTTGGCAAAGTAATTTTGCTATTTACATAATGGCAGAGGCTGCTCATTCTGTGTTCTTTTGCAAAGTGGCATAGTATAGTTTTCCTGTACAAGCTAACTGGTGTAACTGGTGAAGAGGTCTCTAACAGAGGAGATAAAACAGCAGAATCACTTCAGGACAGGTTGCATGAAAGTTATTCCTTTCAATTAATTTGGGGGCACGGAGGGTGTTGGTTCTATTAATTTGGAGAGAGCAAGTGCTTTTTTTTTTTTTTTTTTTTTTTTTTTTAAACAATGTATTTGTTATGCTGCTTGTTTCTGAGCAGATGTTTGCATGGGGCTGTATGAACAGCCCAGCTCACTTGAGGTTAGCTTGGAGATCTTGAGAAGGGCGTTGTACAGTACCTTGGATGTAGCATTAAGCTTCACTGTTTTTATCTTGGCTAAAAAAGAAGCAAGTCATAATGACTTCTGTAATATTCTATTTTGATATTATCAGTAGGTGTTACTTGAGAGTGCCATTCCAGGGCCAACGAATACATTCTAGGAAAATCAGGCTGAACTTCTGCTCCAGAAGCAGAAAGTAGTAAAGTCATTAAGTATGGCATAGCAGGAAAGCTCTCACTGTACAGTTGGCCTTTCCCACAGTAAAGAAGGATATTTTCCATCTCTTGGGCTGGTGAATTTATGTCTCTGTATCTCTAGCTGTCAATTGTGCTGTCTCATTCTTTGTAGGTTGGCTGCAGTCTGAGGGAGACCTCACTGCTCTTAACAGACATTCACAGGCTGCTTTTACTGGCCAGTAAGGCACAGGTGAACACTGAAGCTGTATTCTTGTAACACTACCCCAAACTAAGGCCCCTTGTACTGCTTTAACTCGTGTCTGCCTTTTCTCACACTTTAACCACTGCAGATGTGTCCAGGTGAAAGCAAGTTTGTGTTCGAGATGCTTAGTGTTTCTATGAACATCAAGGAATTAGATTCAGAAATAAAATACAGTGACATCTTCATTTGGATTGACTTCTGACTTTGTCTCTCTTAGCGTGTGCCTGATTAATTCCAAGTTCAGAATGCAGTATGTATAGATATGTCAGTAAACCAATTCTCCTTGTGGATGCTGAAGAGAACTGAAACTCTGACACTTTTCATCCTACCATGGTACTGAAAATGAAATTCATCCAATAGTTTATTTCTGTGAATGCATATGGGGGGAATCCAAATACATGTCTTTTATTTGCTACCCAGCATGAAGACAATTTTGTAGTTGAAATGCTAAAGAAATAAACTTGTAAAATCTTGTATGCCCTAAGTATATATTTTTGTCCTATGTTTTCTTTTATAGTAAAGTTTAAGCTAAAATTTCTTATATTTCTGGAAGGAAATTTAGTTTAGCCACTATTGTACTTCCTAGGCTACAAAAGCAGTTTTTTTAAGTAAGCATCTAAAAGAAATTGTATTTTTAAGAAGGTGGATTATGATCCCTTAAAATAAACATCTCTCCTTAGCAGTTGTATATACTTAGACAAAAAGCAAATCAACTGCAGCTGCTTGTCTATATAGTTTGTGTTAGTGATTTGTTTATATTGTTTTCTGTAATTGCTCTACGGGTTTTAAGAGCTCTGCATAAACCACTAATGTTAGCAATAGAAGTCTGAAGTAAATCTCTTTAGAAGTGATAGATTTTGTATCCTGGAGGAGGACCAAGACTAAGCATTGCTAAGTTTTTATTCTGTGCTATATGACTTCAATGTCCCGGCATTATATTGAAAATATCTGGCATCTGTTCAGTGGGACCACTTCCTAAGCCCTTTTGTAATTCCCAACATCTATCCCAACACAGGTGTGCAAGATGTTTCTAATTGGATCGTAGCTACAAGTTCATCTTTTTTCTATTGTCGTTGTTTGGAAGAATAAAATTCAGTAGCAACAAGCTGAGAAATAATTCAGAAAATGAAGTTCTTCATCTCTTGAATTATTGCTGGACTTGCGTTGAGGACGTATTTTAAAGTATTGCTATGTTTCTGAACACACTTGAGAATTTAAATGCAAAAGTTAAAAACGTTTTTAAATGATCCCATTTTCTCTTAACGTTACTGAATTCAAGTTACACACTGCCATGAAGAGGATGCCTTCAGTTGAAAACCTGTGCTGATAGAGCTGGAAGTTATGTGTTGTAGGAACTCGCTTGCAAGGTAGAAGGTGCTTGTTCCATCAGTGGTACAACTTCTGCTGACTTCAAGGCTGCTCAAGCAGACTTGCTCTGTTTCAATGTGCATATTGGCTGCAAGCTTTTTCTTATAGGCCTTGGATATGCAGTGTAAATCTGTAACGATATAAAGTGCTACTCAGTAACAATAATAACCTGATTGCGTTTTTGTGCTGTACATTTCCCTCCTGTGGCTCCGAAGGTTTGTGTATATAGACTGTTGCACTGAACTGACTGTACTTTGTAGCTGAGAAGCAAAAGCAAGTAGTGTACTGAACACGACTGTGGTTTGTGAGTTCAGAAACGCAGATACTTTTTGCAGGATGTGAAGTATAGCTTCAGTGCGACAAATTTGATTTTTATATTTTTTATTAATATGCATGGAAGACTAGGGATGATATTTTCTAAAAACGAACTTGGTTTTGTACATTTTTTCAATGTTTAAAACTATATGGTTTAACATTACCTCTGAAATACCGCTATCAGTAAATTCTTAAAGGAAATACCTCAACTTGAGCGTTCTTTTTTTCTTGCTAGTTGTCTGGTAGGTTGAAACGGACTGTGGTGTGTGATGAACTAACTGAGCGAAACAGCAATGACGTAGGAGCTTCACCTGTGCTGTAAGTCGTGTGATTTACTGGAAGGGAACCAAATGATACACTCCAAGTGTTGATGTGCAGTGTACAATCATGGCTCGTTCTGCCCGACTGGACCTTTTCCTTATTACTGGCTTGTAAATGGAATTTTCATCATGAAGCCAAATTAAAAATGAAGGAGAAAATGTTCTGTTTCCTTTGCATTATTTTTTCTTACACATGTCTGTGACACACAACAAGGTTTATAATAAAGGACGCAGTCTTAGGTGTGAATAAAACCAAGTTCATACATGCTCAGGTGCACGTTATTGATGTATGCAATGACTGATGTGGCTGTGTGTGTGTGCAGGAGACTGGTGTTTACCTGACACCTGGGAGTACGAAATACAGGGCTTAAGGATTTTCGGTGTGGTGGGTGGGTTGGTCATTCTGTAGAGTTGGATGTGTGTTACTTGGTTTCACTGGTGGGTTTTTTTGTGTGTGTCTTTGGTTGGTTGTTTTCCCCTCTAACTCTGCTTCACCTTGTAGATGACAGGTACATTGAATCCAATTCTGTCATATGTCCTTGAATAAGAACACTGAAAGATGGAAAGAAAAAAAAAGGAGGCTCTATAGGTCTGGAGAACAAGTGTATCTTAATTAAATAAAAGTAGCTAATTTGAATTACCCAGGAAACAGTCAATACATGATGTGGCACTTCATTTATTACACACGTGAGAAGTGCCTAGCAGAAGGGAAAAGCTACAGAGATATCCAGCAGACAGACGGCGAATTAATATGAACATTTTTTAAGAATGAATAAAACAGCGGTGAAGTTCAACGGTAATGACACATTCTTCATAAGGTGAAGATTTCAGGTGGAGACTTGTTGACAGTTCTTAAAATTAGTCACATTTCAATTTATTGATCTGTATGTAGGTTTTGAGTAATGACTGTTCTGAGTCAGCTTAGTAATGCAGTGGTTTGCATGAAAGAGTAAACTTCTGTGGATGACAGCAAATGCCTGACTGAGAAAAAGGATCAAATATTTTAATCTTGTATTAAAAAATCTAATTTATTTTTTCTTTCAGTGAATTCCTGCCAGTCATGCAGCAGTGGTGCAGGTGTACTTAAAGAACATCACCTGAGCCATTTCTAAACTTAATACATTTTCCTTTATCTTCTGCTCTAAAACGCAAATGATGTATTGATTCTAATCATCTGTATGTAGATTATATAATGATTTTTAAAATTAGTTCCGGAGCATGCTACAGGAGTGGGAAACGCTAATTACAGAATGGAAGGGATTGTCATTCTTCTCAGAACATGACAGGTCTGTAAATGCACAAGATGCGTGCAAGGCTTCTTTAGGGTGAAGGCCCCCTGACACCTCTGCCTCCTTTGCCCCGCTGCACACCAGACAACACTCGGTTCTAGAGCTGCTTTTCTCTGTTCCAGGTTCTTGCTCCTGTGCATAGAATCATAGAAACGGCCTACATGATCACCTAGTCCAGCTGTCCTCTCATTACTATTGCTACCACAAGCCACCAAGCCGTATCTCATAGCTCCTCATCCAGACGCCTCTCGGACTCTGCCAGGGACTCCACCATCTCCCTAGGCAGGCCATTCCAGTGCCTGGCTACTCTGAGAGAAATGCTCTTCCTGACGTCTAACCTAAAGCTCCTCTGGTACAACTTGTGGCCATTTCCTCAGGTCCTGTTTGTTGCCTGGGAGAGGAGGCTGTCCTGCTGCTCGACCTCTTGGTTCAGGGATGAGCTGCTTGGACTTGGGGGCTGCAGCCAGCACTTGCAGCTGTTTTTGTAGGAAAGTGAGCTGTGGCACTCTTATTTCCCACCCACATCTTCCCTTCTTCCTGTTACTCTCTCCCGTGTAAACAGCGATAGGACGAGAGGGAGCGGCCTCAAGTTGTGCCAGGGCTCTTTCGAGTTCTTCCATATTAACTCCCGAAGTGCCCTGCGGTCACCGCACAGCTCCCCAGGTGAGCGCACAGCGCCACAGTGGCCCCTCCAGCCTCCCTTTCGCTCTGCTGAGACCGCCCCTCACGGCTCCTAGAATCACAATGCTTCCAGCCCCACCCCACTTCAGTTGCTAGGCGACGGGGCGCGACCGGAAGTGCAGCGGCCGCTTCCGCCGGAAGTGACGGCGAGCCGGGCGGGGAAGCTCTGAGCGGAGAGGGGGGGATGCGCGGGCGGCGGCGGCCGTGGGGGTGGCCGTCATGCTGAGCCGCAGCTCGTTCACCAGTCTGGCGGTGGGGGTGTTCGCCGTGTACGTGGCGCACACGTGCTGGGTCATGTACGGCATCGTCTACACGCGGCCTTGTCTGGAGGGCGGCACGGCCGCCTGCGTCTGGCCCTACCTGGCGCGGCGGCCCAAGCTGCAGGTGAGCGGCGGGACCGGGACGGGCCCCAAGCCGAGCGATGCGGTGTCAGGGGCGAGCGGGAGGTGAGGAGCGCTCCGGCAGTGCTCGGACGCTCGGAGAAGTAGTGGGGTTGCGTTACTACGGATCGCCGCGCTGAGAGTGCCGGTGGGTGAGCTGATGCTTCTGTGCCGTCATTCCCCTCTGCTGTCTTTGCCGTTTCAGCTGAGTGTTTATACTACCACGCGGTCAAACATCGGTGCTGAGAGTAATATAGATCTGGTTTTGAACGTGGAGGATTTTGATATTGAGTCAAAATTTGAAAGGTAAGTCTTAGAAGAGTGACCTGTTTTTTGCAGTTTGTAGCCTGAATAACACGTGTATGGGAATGTGTATGAAATAAGTGGGTTGACTGTTCATGATGGCAATCTTGGAAGGATAGAGTTGTTCTTGTATTCTTTGGTTTTGGGTTGAAGCTATTCTTGCATACTCTATGGTCTGTTTGGTCTGCACTTGTATTCATAAAGTGCAAACTACAGAAGCAGTGCTGAGGCAGGGAAGATGTGAATTGAACATCAGCTTTGGAGCTGAGGACTAGGTACTGCTATAGGTTAAAAGAAAAAAAAAAAGGTATTTTAAAGTATGTTTTTTTCCTTAATAAGAAGTTCCTAAAGTGTTTCATGAATGACATCACAGTCCTGCTTTGCAGGTTTGGTACACTGAGTTCACATAGCGTCAATAAGAGGACTGTTAGGTTTATTACATTCATCATACAATGGCTTGGGTTGAAAGAGACCTCAAAGATCATCCAGTTCCAACCCTGTGCTGTGGGCAGGGCCGCCCCTCCACCAGCTCAGGCTGCCCAGAGCCGCATCCAACCTGGCCTTGAGTAGCTCTAGGGATGGGGCACCACAGCTTCTCTGGGCAACCTGTTCCTGTACTTCAGCACCCCTCAGTAAAAAATTTCCCCTGACATCTAATCTAAGTCTTCCCTCTTTCAGTTTAAAACCATTCTTCCTTTATGTAAGCTTCCTTCAAGAATTGGAAGGTCAGTAGCAGGTCTCTGCTTCTCTGGGCTAAACAGCCTCGGCTCTCTCAGTCTGTCTTCATAGCAGAGGTGCTGCAGCCCTTTGATCATCATAGGCCCTCCTCTGGACCCACTCCAAAAGCTCCATATTGAACACCTCATGGTCGCAAGAAGGAAAGCCTCTCTAAACAAAGCTTTGCTAGCAAATACAGAAGTGCTTGTTTCTCTCATATAGATTTTACAGACCTCGGACACTGTACTGAATTGTCTGCAATTTTCAGATCCCACTCTAAATACCTTACTAGTTGTGCTGCATCATTTCAACATTAGTTAATTTACATCACCGTATTGTTTTTAGCTATATAAACAAATGTTTTGCAGTAGCAAACTGATAGTACTGGTAGTAAAAACGGCTTCTCATTGTGAAAATCCTATGTCAGTGTGCCTGGAAATGCTTGGGACTTTATAACATGTACATAGTCTATCAGCTACGTGATTTTTTTTCTGAACAGCTGTGATTTCAGACTCTGAATGGAACCTGGAAGTCATACAGTGTTATCTTTCCTTGTGCTATAAAAGCAAGCTTCTGTATAACTGTTTCAGTGCTAGTAATAATAGAAGTAAAGCTTTTCTGGTGCTTCAGGGTTTCAAGATCTTCTGAAGCGATGTTAGTACTAAGATTTTGTCCTTAGATAAATTTTTGAGTGCACTCTTGTATTGTAAAGAGGCGTATATAATGATTAGAACTCTTTTTGTGCTGTATATTTGCTGCTTCAATTTTGTTATTTAAAGCGGTGGTTTTGTTTTTCACTCTCTTGACAAAGATTTGCTTCAGCTCTTTGTCATTCTGCCTTTTTAATAATAAAAAAGTACGAAATTCTGTGATTTAGGTCATATTAATCTATGGCAGATTTTAAAATAGAACTGTTTTACTAACATGGTCTTGCTGTACCAGTGAAAGCATCCAGAGGGGAAAAAAGCAAAGTGGTAAGGATGCTTCCTTGGCAAACGCAAGGACAGTGAACTGATGGTGCTTGAGGCTCCACATAGCTCTGTGTTCAACACGCTGTAGCTGAGAAGGTAAAGTGCTTGGCTTTGGTTTTTTACTGATTTTTTTCAAAAATCATGCCTACAATCTCTGAACACACTCAGCACCTGGAAGGTTTTTCTCTACAAATCCTAGCATAATTTTGACAATACAACATAGTGGCAGGGGAAAACATCGATACTGATAATGTGGGCCTGTTGTCTAGGGTAAGGAGGGGCATGCTGGACAAAGATCAATGTGACTTGAGGTAATAGTAAAACACTGTGTAACATACTGGAGTATATGAATTGATCCCATCCAGCTATGGCTCTTTAGGGCATGTTAATGAGGTGTGCATTGTCTTGCTTCCTTTCAGAATATTGTAACATTTTCAGTGATCCCTATCTGTAACAACTTTAATATTTCAACGTCTCATCTCATAATGTCCTTATTTTGTATTTTAGGACAGTGAATGTCTCTGTACCAAAGAAAACTCGAAATAATGGCACATTATATGCATATATCTTTCTTCATCATGCGGGTGTTTTGCCTTGGCATGATGGTAAGCAGGTGCATATAGTGAGCCCTCTGACCACGTACATGGTCCCTAAACCAGAAGAGATTAATTTGCTCACTGGAGAGTCAACCACACAGGTAGGTGGATTTGCCACCTGTAGGAGGGCAAGTGGGGAAAGAAAATGCATTTCTTTTGTAGACACTTGTAGTGTTAGCATCTGCTATGCTTGCATCTATAAATGGTGGGGATGTTTAAAAAAA